AGATATGGAAGACATCCTAAGAGTAAAAAAAAAAAAAAATACCTCATAATTCATATCAAGTGAAGCCACAAGTGAAATATGGAGGCCTTACATCATAAATAGAATGATTCTATGTTCCACAGATGTTCACTTTGTCATGTCTATTTGAAAGATTTAAAATAATGTTTCATTCTTTTGTATTAAAATATGACAGAATTCTATCATTTCAGGTTGAGCAGAGCTGTTTGTGTGAGTAGAGAACATCTCCTGCTGAAGTCGTAGGGGACCTTCTGCAATCTGCTTTGCCTCGTTCCCAGGGGGTAAAAAAATACATTCCAAAACTCCTTATTAGTTTGATATTCAGTCAAAGATTTTTCTTTAACAACGGAAAGATATGATTAGTCTGGGATGAAAAGTTTTGCTGTACATAGAAAGGGTTCTTTGTAAAACTCCAGATAAAACTAAAACAAGGCGGGTTGAAACAGCCTGCTGAGTCTGCAGCTATAATGTACATTGTATGTACTGGCTTCAAACCCTCATCAAAAGTAAATGAGGCTTTGTCTACACTTAAAAAGGTTTGCTGGTACAGGTATACTGGTAGAGCTATACCAAGCAAAACCTTCCTAGTGCAGACACAGCTCATAGTGGCAGAACCAGTTCCCCAAACAAAAAAACTATACTGTCAAAAGGATTTTCTATCTGTATAACTGTGTCTACAGTAGGGCTTTTGTCAGCACAGCTATGTAGGTTAGGGTGTGATTTTTTTTCTCTCACACTCCTAACTGACAAAGCTATGGAAAGTTTTACTGGCAGTGTAGACCAGCCCCCAGTAAGGACAGTAGTGACTGCACTGATTCCAGATAAGCAAAATGGCTGCAATGCTGTTATTTTAATATGTTTAGTAAATGAGTCCTGACACATTTCATCCCCAACACATATACCTGTGCTTGTGTGCAAGTCATACCAGGCAGGGACAATGCATGAGTTAGTAAAAGATGATGAGCAAATCCCATGCAGCCATTACTCTACTTGTATACTACTTTTCCATGCAAGCAGGATGACAAGTGGCCTGTGGCAGGGGATGTGCCTAGAGTTATAGCAAAACCTTAAGATGTACATACTTTGTAGTTTCAGGAGACTGTTTGTTTCTTTAATTTTGTAATTAAAATTAATTATATTCCCTTAAACTGGGATACTGACCTTTTAAACTGGAGGTACCCCTACACTGAAAAGTGTAAATGCACTATTTATACTTGGCTTAAAAAGTATCAAAATCCAGAAAGGAATTACAATAATCTCTTAAATTTAGTTATTAATTCAAACAAGCCTAAATTAAATTGAAGCAGCAAACCATAGGGTAGTGGGGGGAATTTAGTCTATCTGGTTGCACAGAAACTCCATCCAAAGCTCCTTAACAGGCTATTGTTACAAAGTTTACAACAATCAGAACCTGCTAATTTCATGTTTATTCTCAGAAGGCACAACTCAGTGTTAGCTGCTTATTGGAAATACTAATTTTACAAGTTAACTCTTTAATATATGTCACAAATCCCAGAGTGGGTGTATACTGTAATTAGACCAAAAGGCATTTCTTACTTTAACAGTAAAAGACATTTTTAATGTAACAATATTTCAGATAAAATATTAAATGTTTTTATAACAAAACATGCAAATATTTATTAAAATTGCAATACTTAGAACACATACAGCACTTTTCACTTTCAAAGTGCTTTACAAACCTTTACCAAATAATTCCTCACAACACCCTTGTGACGAAGGTATTACGCACCATTTTACAGGTGAGGAAATTGGCAGTGTGTGACTTGCTCAAGACACAAGAGGGGGAATCTGTAGACCATAAAACTAGAACTCAGGAATTCTTGGCTTCCAATCCTGTGCCCAGACCATACATCTCAATACAGTAGTTACTTTAAACTTTGTATAAGAACACCCAAAAAGTTGTTCTAATAAGAGGTAGCCTCCATATAATGGTTTGGGTACAATAGGATGTACAGAGGTTTTGCCTTATTTTTAAGTTTGGTGCAGCAGCAAGAACCAGTGTAAATAACACTACATTTCCCCATTCAAGAACTGACCAAACATAGGTTTAATTAATTTATGAGATTATCATCATTAACTATTCATATTGCAATAGCACTTGGGACACCATTTATGGATCAGAGACTCACTGTGCTAGGAACTGTGAACAAATCCCCAAAAGGTGAACCCTTTAAACTTTTTCTTTCTTCTTGCTAATATAATCCATCCTGTTCAGATCAAGAAAAAAGCCTTTAGATCTAATACTTGTGTATTTCAACTACTCAGGTAAAATAAATGAAATATAATTAAAATGTTGGCACTTAGTGTCCAAAGAAGAATGTATATTTCAAAGTACTTTTGGGAATTGTTCCTTGACACAAAACATTATTTGGACCTGATATTTGATGTAAGTTTTCTTTTTATTGTTTTGTCTACTTTAAATTTGATGTTACCTCCAGAAATACGTAAAATAAAAAACATGAAAAAAATTGAGCCTGGATTAAGATCATTCAAAACTGGCTATTTAGCAACTTCTTTTCAATAATATAAACTGAATGAAAGCAAACATTGCTAACTACAAGACCATGAATTCTCTACTCTTGATTTTTTTTTTAAACAGTCCAATTTTACTTGTTTCAGTTTTCCTGTAAAGGTCACATGCAAAGGGAAAAATGGGGTTGTGCCCTTTTTTGCAATAAAGGCTTGAATTTTTTTCTGCTTGTTTTTTTTTGTTTTTCCCTTAAGCCTTAAAAAGGATGTCAATTCTTATTTCCTTTTTGGTGGTGGACTTCTTGGATGACTCAGATTTGTATAGGAAACTTCCTCAGACAATAATTGAATGGGTAGGGTATTAAATCTTTCCAAAAGTCTCCCAAGTATTTGAAATAGGTGTAAACATAAAAAAACCAAACCCACAATTTTAAGCAGTGTGGATAACCATGTCCTGTCTACTAAGATTTCATTTCCTTTGGTCATGTCTACACAGTGAGTTAGCATGCAGCAAGCCAAAGAGCAAATCTACAATGCATCACCTTGATGTGTAACGTCCCGTGTGGACACTTGTAGTTTAGTGAAGGTCCTGGAGTGTGGGTTAGCAACTATGCTTTCAAACAGTAGTATGCTAACCCACACTCCAGGACTTTCACTGTGCTACACTGTTTGTAAGGGTGTCCACAGGGGACTTTGTTGTGCTGCAAGCTGATGCGCTGTAGAGTCCCACCTTGGCTTGCCCTGCAATAACTCGCCACATATATGAGCCTTTTCTACCATTGTCATAATCATACTAACAGGTTTCAGAGTAACAGCCGTGTTAGTCTGTATCCGCAAAAAGAAGAACAGGAGTACTTGTGGCACCTTAGAGACTAACAAATTTATTAGAGCATAAGCTTTCGTGGACTACAGCACTAGTTCCTCCACTGTCCATGGAGTCTGTCACAAAGTGTAGATTTCTAAAGTAAAAACAAGAAGGAAAATATTTTCAAAGAGAATCTCCACCGAACTTTCAGACCTGCTGGTTTAGAAATCAGAAAGAGGGGAAAAAAGGGCACAAACCTATTTTTCCTTTGTTACATCACCTTTAAAGTAAAGCTACAAGAAACAACTAAAATTTGACTTTTGTTTAAAAAAAAAAAGACAGGTAAAGCAGAAGCAAGGGTATGGATGAAATGTTTGAGGGGGGAAAAAATATATGAGGGCTCTGGCCTACTTTCCTTGTGCTGATTTGAACTACACATTGTGGGTACCACCTAGTGGAGACAGGGAGGATTCTTCATCTTGCATTCTTTATTACCTTTACCCTGCTACTTACACCAGGGGGCTTCCCGCCCAAAGGCAATGCTCCGCCTCCCAGACCAGTCACCTTGACTTGAGAGGGCGAGCATGCACCTGCGCTGGTTCTCAGTCCCACTGCAACGAGGAATGTAAATATCGGTTACAAACGTTGACCGGTTAAATGATTACAATGATATCGTTTAATTGGTTAACTGTTAACCAAGGTCGCTGCGGCTGGGCTGGCGCAGCCGGGACCCCTCTGGCCAATGGTTAAGGGCCGGTTAACCGATAAACCTACTGCTTTGGTTACACGTTTACATCCCTGTTTGCAACCCCCGTATTCCCGGTTGGGGTTTAATCCGGAGTCTCTCGTGGATGGGTTTTTGAAAGCCCAGCCCGGGCAGGCGAGCGGTGACGTAGGACTCCCCGCTTCCAGGTGCCCAGGCTCAAGCCGTTTCTCGCAGCTGGCTGCAGGGAAAAGCTTGAGCGCAGGGCCGAGCCCGCCGTGGGCTCCCCAACGAGCTCCTCGTGCTGGCTGAGCCCGGGGCAGGTTCTCGGGGGACGCAGCCGCATCGGCCGGGGCTGCCAGGACGCACCGCCCACAGCGGGGGCTGGCCTCGGTGCTCGGGCTGTTGCAGTTCCCCGGACGATGGGGACAGCCGACTAGGCCTGCGCCCCATACGCCACCGCCGCTCCGCCCTATGCCTCCCTCGCCACAACCCCCAAGGTCTCACTCCGAGAGCCGTTAAGTTACCCGGGTCTATTTGAACAGCATCATAGGAATAATCGGCTCGCGCAAGACGCTGATTGGTTGATCGTCTCGCGCTGTTATTGGCGGAGGCGGCAAAGGGTGGGTGGGGTTGAGTCGGTGTGACAGGACCTACTCACTTTCCTTGGAAAGGGAGGGGGGCAGGCATCCATGTGCGATGGTTTAACCCGTCCCATCCCCTTCCTAGGCTCGAGCCCTCTGGCCAGGCCTCTACCGTCGCACGCGCGCGCCCCGCCCCGCCAGGACCCCGAGGGCTGGCCAATATATTGCCTGAGTCTAGGAGACAGACAGTTGTGCTGGGGTTCCTAGCGCGCCCCGTAATGCGGCCTAGCGCGCCTACAAGATTTTTGTGAGGTGACGAAGCTCTGTTGGCCGCGGCTACCCTTTCAATCCCGAGGGGCCTGGAGGGATTTCTCTGCTGGCGTTTGCCCAGGAAGGCCGCACACGCCCTGGCGCGAGGGGGCAGGTGTCGGGTCCTGGGGCAAGGGAAAACCCGCCAACTTTCCCGTTGTGGGGAGCGCGGGACTGGGGCGCCCTGTAGTCTCCATAGCAACCAGGGAGGGTGATTCTAGGAGAGCGTGCCCCCTCCCGGCGGCACCGGGGCCAAGCGAAGATGTAGCGGGTGAGGAGACGCGGCGCCGGCAGGGACCCTCCCCCCAGGAGTCAGGGGACTCACCCCATCCCTTGCGGGTCAGGAGCGGGGGGAGGGGGCGAGGGCGCCTCCACTCACTCTGGGGCCGGTGGAGTTTGGGGGTTTCCCCTCCCGCCTCAAGTGCCTGGGGAGCCTGTGATTCCTTCCCGGGGACACGCTCCAGCAGCTCTTGCGGTCGCGGTCACCCTCCCCGGGCGGGGGGGAGCGGGAATGGCTGGAATAAAGGGCTTAGTCGGCTTCAGTCTCACGAACTGCGGCGCCAGGGGCCTGTGGGTATCAAGTGGCGCGGGGGGGGCGGCCGCCTTCCCGCGTCGGGGCCAAACCCCGCTGCGGGCTCGGGTTGTTCGTGCTCGCAGAAGGTGCTATTGCTGGGCGGGCTTCCCCGCCACGGTGCCCCCAACAGTCCCCGCTCTCCAGCGCGGGTCAGGCAGGCTCCAGCCCATTCATGCCTTGGCCCCTCTGCTGGAAACGCCACACGGGCACCAGGTGGTGCAGACCGTGTCTGCTGTGAGTTGGGCCCGATCTTCTACACTAGACTGAAACGTCAGCGCAGCCCCTTTCAGGCAGGCCCCTGGACACAGCCAGGGGAGACGACCTGGTTTTGGTCATTACCAACCCCCGCCTAGAGTCAGAGTGCTGAAGGTGAAGCGGCTCTTGCCCAGTCCTCTGAGCCACGCGGGCCACTAGAAAGTACTGTCATGAACTTTTATTGCATGCATGGCCGCGTCCCATAATAAAAGTAAACGTAACATGTATTTGACAGGTGTTACTGCCGCTTGCAGCTTTCTGTCTAGGGTGATCTTATTCCCCGTCCCCATTATTTGTGAGTGAGGAAAAAATGCCAGGTGTATTACCGACTGATGCTACTGGGCTTTTGAGAGGTAGTCCGTCAAAGAAAAACAGACTTTCCCTGAAGCTTTTCCAAAAAAAGGAAACGAAAAGAGCACTGGATTTTACAGAGTCACAAGAAAATGAACAAAAGAGTTCAGAATACAGAGGCTCAGAAATGTATGTAAGAGTTTAAGATTTTCTGATTATAACCTGGTCAATGCTAAACATGCTAAGAAGTATTTTTATTTTATATGAGAAATAGTTTGTTTAATAATGGACAAGTGGGAGTAAAAACATCTTAATAAATGGATGTCTTATCAACCTGGCTCTTGAAAACTAAACTGTTCTGCTTGGGCTCGTGAAAACTAAACTGTTCTGCTTGCTGCACTGCTCCAATAGAGAATAAATGTCACAAAGCATGTTATAATGGAATGCTTGAGTCAGTTTCATCTAACTGAACTGATTTTGCTACTTGAAATCTGTTTTTCTGAAATTTAAGAAAATGAGAGGTCACTGAGTTTACACTTACGGATGTTAACCTTCCTTGTAGAATGTCTAACTTGTGGAGAATGTGATCAATACACTAAGCTAACAGAGGATACTTATTCAGATTTATGTCTCAAATTATAAAAAAAAATATTCTGGCTTTAAAGAATTTGCAAACCACAAACCTGTTTTTCAAAATGAGATTTAAGTGAGTCTTAATGCCTGGGCAAGGTTCTGGATTTTAAAGTTCCATTTCTAGTACTTGTACAAGCATCGGCAGTTCCAGTACTAGCTTTCTTCCATTACATTTCACCAGTGTCCCTCAATGAGGCTTCCAGCTAACTTCATACCAGGTAATGAAGAGGGTTAGATGGGAAAAGGAGAATTACTCAAGCACATTAAATTACAAATGCACTGATGACCATTTAAGCCTTTGTTTTATTACACCAATACAATGTGTTAACAGTCTAATGCTTCTACACTAGCTTTTGGTTACTTCTCTACATAATGGACTGAGTCTTGCCCTTGGGTTTGTGTGCAGGAATTTCTGCCATGATAATCTTTTGGCGATGGGAGGGGGAAGGTTAGAATGGAAAGTATACACTGTGGCATTTTTTGCTTAGTGCTGCAGTAACTAAGTCTATGAATAACTCAAATGTTATAGAAAAACTTGTAGAGTTTTTTCCATATTGGTTTGAAGGACTTCAGAAAAAACTGTCTGACTAGGTATAGCACATAGGCGCCCTACCAAATTCATGGTCCATTTTGTTCAATTTCACAATTACAGGATTTAAAAAATAATAAATTTCATGATCTCAGTTATTTAAATCTGAAATTTCATGGTGTTGTAACTGTAGGGGTCCTGACCCAAAAGGGGACTGTGGTGGGGGGGTTTGCAAGGTTATTGTAGGGGGGTCATGATACTGTCACCCTTATTCCTGCACTGCTGCTGTTGGCGGCACTGCCTTCTCCGCCTGCCCAGCTCTGAGCAGCAGCTGCTGGCTGGGAGCCCAGCTCTGAAGGCAGTGTGCCAACAGCAGCGCGGAAGTAAGAATGACATGGTATGGTATTGCCACCCTTACTTCTGTGTTGCTGCTGGTGGGGTGCTGCCTTCAGAACTGGGTGTCTAGCCACCGCTCTCCGGCCACTCAGCTTTGAAGGCAGCGCAGAAATAATGGTGGCAATTCTATGACCCCCCTACAATATTCTTGCAAAGCCCCCACCCCCACCATGCCCTTTGGGTCGGGATCTCCAATTTGAGAAACACTGGTGTCCCATGTGAAATCTGTATAGTATAGGGTAAAAGTACACAAAACACCAGCTTTCACAGGGGAGACCAGACTTTGCGGTCCATGATGCGTTTTTCATGGCTGTGAATTTGGTATGGCCCTACACATGGGTATTGTACTATTCCTGGAATATCTGTGTGCTTATTGCAAACCTTTTTGCATAAATTTCCTAGTAAATATTGTTTCTGTTGAGTGGTTCCATCTTTGAGCATACAGCATAGCATGAGTGTCAAAAACTGATAGTTTTGGTACCATCTATGATCTATTGACCGTATAAAAAGATTAATTTTATATAGTAGTATAAGGGCCAGATTTTTAAAGGTATTTAGGTACCTAACTCCTTTTAAAAATCCAGCCCCAAGTGTTAAAAGATGTTTTGTAAGAAGTTAATGATGTGAAGGATAAACACTTCAAAAGGTCAAGATGTATATGCATGTGTTCTAAGATGTAAAAAAAAAAAAAAAGTCTTGCTTTCTATTACATACTCTCTTCTCTGTTTAATAGTGATCAGGTTGTTCCTGCAGCACAGCCTCCTTCACCCATTAGTTGCGAGAAAAAAGACAACATGCTGCCTTTTGTGGGCTTGAACAATCTTGGCAATACTTGTTACCTTAACAGCATACTTCAGGTAAATTCAGTTTTGGGGATTGGAAAAGATATTTGCGTTGTCGTTAAACATTTTATACAAACACTTTAGACTCCTAATTTGACAAAATATTGTGTAAAAATGGGATTGAAGGGAGATACCACACACTCAAGGCAGCCAATGGTGCACATATATCTATATCTACTCCTGCTCACTTGCAGGAGTAATTGTTTTATAAAGAAATTACTGCGTTGCCCTAAAGGTTTGCTCCCAGGATTTGGCACGAGTTGGCCTTGTTCTCTGACCACACCACTTTCCTCGTTTTGCGTCATTGTGCCAAGTTAGGTGCACGAGTGGAGGCAGAACTTGGTGATGTAAATCCCTTTGTATTCTGCAGAGGGATGCAGATTGCCCTTTAATTTAATAAAGCAGAGTTCCATCCAACACTAATAGTTGGAATATTCCAAGGGATGTTATCAAGTAGTTGAAACTCACGATTTTATTATTTTTGTTTCCCAATTTATGAAATTAAAAAAATAACTAATTTGAATCTCTTTTAAAACTGAAGCATTCCCTGGCAATGTTGGAAACTCAATATCTTTGTATTAGTGCAGGAAACCAGAAAGACAAACTGCTGACTAGTCATTTCTCTACACAAGTGTAGTAAAGTGAAAAAATACAGTGTAAGTGATGGAAATGAAACAGCTGTTTAGTTTACTTTTCAGTCGTTCATGTTAACTGACTTATCTTCTATCCCTTTAATCACATGGGTGGAATTTTCAAGTGTCTAAGGGAGTCAGTTGCTCAATTCTTATTAAATTTTGAAGCTTTTAAAATCACTGAAAGTTGGACATCTGACTCCCTTTGGCGTTTTAAGTATTATGAGTGAGATTTTTCAAATTTCTACCTTAGTTTTAGTTAGTGGAGATAACTTTATAAATAGTCAGGGATTCAAAAGTAAGCTTTCCACTACAGCTCTACATTCCTGAATATCTCTCGTACTGTAAAATGAGTGTTGAGTGGCAGGGAGAAGCTTAACTTATTGGACTGAAATTTGGTAGACAAGGTTCCCTGATCTGCAGCAGACTTCCAATGGATGTTGGATTGAGCACCTAATCTTTCTTCCTCAATTCCTTACCTGTAAAGTGGAGATAGGAAAGAATTATCTCACAAGGACTTTGAGAGGATAAATTCATTAATGTTTGAGGTATTACAGTATTCATGACCTCCATTTCCTCAAATGCCACAGTGATGAGAGCCACATAAGTACCTAGGTAGAACTTCTTTACTCTTGTGCTTAAGTTTTTAACATGAATATTATATTAATATTGTTTTTAAATTGTACTCTACCTATATTTGCACAGCCTGGGCCATTGAGGTTTCTGCATCCTGGCGTGCTGTACAACAACCTAGGAGATGCAGAAGCAGATCTTGGCCTATGTGCATGGACTTTTAATGTTAGTTTTAACTTTAATTTCATGTACAACTTTTGCTCACTTAAAATTTTTTTTTCTTGTTTTATACTGCTGCTGCTAGGTGTTATATTTTTGCCCTGGCTTTAAAACTGGAGTGAAACACTTATTTAACATTATTTCAAAGAAGAGAGAAATGTTAAAGGATGAAGGAGAACAAAAGTCAGACAAGGTAAATTTTATATATATCATTTGATCTTTCTTTAGCTGTAATTATGCAAGTAAGTGCAGAATAAATTAAACGATCATATCTTGGAATATGTAGGGGCACACAGTAAAGAGCTTTTTTTAACTTCCTGTTGAAGAAAATTTACCTTTATTATAGTGGAATCATTTTTGACTCATTTACAACTTATAACACTGCCCTTCAAAGTTATTTCTGGAAGGTTTATAAGTAAGATTGCAAGTCTTTCATGAACGTCACAGATTCCGTGACTTCCGCAACTGCAGGGATTGACCCCGGGCTGGCCCCCTTCCTCCCCCCGGAGCGGCAGTAGGGCCCCGGGCCGCCCCCTCGCCCTGGAGCGGTGGCGGGGCCCCAGGCTGACCCCTGCCCCAAGAATTATTTTGGGGATAGAATATCCGGTGGAATCTGTTGGTCTTCCATATATTGCTTCCTGCAGGCAAAAAAGCAATATATTTAATGTTTCAAGAAGCACCTGCTTCCATCCCCTTAACTGATAGAAATGCTGGCAATGACGGACAGAAAAGGGATAAAGGAGGCAGGGGAAAAAACCTTCAACTGTTGTATTCAGAGGAAAAAGCTCAACTATTGTCTTTTCTTTTATGATTACAGGGAAGTTGTAAAGAAGATCCTTTGGCAAGTTATGAACTAATCTGCAGTTTGCATTCCTTGATTCTTTCAGTGGAACAGCTTCAGGCCAGCTTTCTATTAAATCCAGAAAAATATACAGATGAACTTGCTACTCAGCCAAGAAGGCTACTAAACACACTTAGGTATAAATAATCTTAAATGAAATGTCAGAATTTTCACTGAAATTTGAGCTGATTATAATTTGTGTATTACAATCTTAAGAAAACATTGGGGATTGATGTTCTTAAATTTGATACACTAACATAGGAAATGTGTGGGGTTTTTTTTTTTCCTTCCCCACATTCCATGCAGGGGATTGCATCAGTTCTGCTACTCAGAAGAATTCTCTAGCAGCCACATAGTGAAACTGATATAATACCAGTCAGTTTTACTGTGGGAAGATGGCCCAAGATAAAATTTGTGCACCTACTGTTTCAGCTTTCTCTTGTGGTATCAAGGTTTAGAGCTAAAAATATAAAATCTACATAGGAGTTCCATTGTAACACAATAACTGATCACATGTGGTAGTCTCCAGATGTATCATTTCAAAACAATATAACACTTCCCTTTTTCTCTATAGAGAACTTAACCCTATGTATGAAGGATATCTGCAACATGATGCCCAGGAAGTATTGCAGTGTATCCTAGGAAACATCCAGGAAACGTGTCAGATATTGAAGAAGGAAGAATTGAAAAATATGCCAGTGGAAGAGCCTATAGCTCATTTGGAGGAGAAGTCTAATCAAAATACTGAAAGCAATGGCATTAACAGCCCTGGTGAGGAAAATGACTATGCAACAAGCAGTCACACTGCAGAGGAGTCTGAAGACAAACTATCCAAAGGAAATGGGAAAAGGAAAAGTGATACTGAGAGTGGGAATGCAAAGAAAAAATCTAAAGTATCCAAGGAGTATAATGCAGTAGAGGGAAATCAGAGACAGACCAGATCAAAGAGGAAAGCAACAGTGGAGAAACTAGAAAATCATACAGATGCCATTGCTAAGTATTCTATTGAAAATGAGATTGCAAAGCCAACACAGAAGAAATCACGACTTAGATTAAACTGGTTTAAGTCTTCAGGCAAACAACCCAGCATTCTGTCTAAATTCTGTAGTGTGGGAAAGCTAGCAAACAACTTGGGATCCAAAGAGCAGATGAAAGAAACTGATGGCTGTGAGATTGAAGAGGCATCTGTAAAGTGTGAAAATGGTAATATAAAAGAATATTTTGAACCTGCATCCCCTGTGGAAAGTGCTGGTGAAAAAGGAATTGAAAAACCACTACAAGGAGGTTAGTAAAAAATGTGTGGGCTTAATGTAAACACAGTAGGACTAAGAAACAGATACACCTGGGAAGTTAGTGCTCAAATACCATAGTGAGGATTTGAAATCTATTTTTCCTTAAATGGAAAATTTCTACACCCAATGTAATCATATAGGATATATATATATATATATCTGGAAGGGACCTTGAAAGGTCATCAAGTCCAGCCCCCTGCCTTCACTAGCAGGACCAAGTACTGATTTTTGTCCCATATCCCCTTAAGTGGCCCCCTCAAGGATTGAACTCACAACCCTGGGTTTAGCAGGCTAATGCTCAAATCACTGAGCTATCCCTTCCCTCATAATATATGGAGATATCCTATCTACTAGAACTGGAAGGGACCTTGAAAGGTCATCAAGTCCAGCCCCCTGCCTTCACTAGTAGCAGGACCAAGTACTGATTTTATATATATATATATATATATAAAAAATACCTGACATACAGATATGTCTAAGATATATAATAATAATTAGAAATTAGAGTGTGAGCAGAAAATAAGGCTCATTGTAGTAATGCAGTGTAAAAGGGTTAGAAGAATGCCAAATTTATACTCGTATTACCTCTTGCTAATTTATAATGTAGAGTGTGGGTTGTGGACTTTGAAAAGTCCACAAGTGTTTATGTTCCTCACAAGAGAATTATTTATCATTAAGGTTAATACCAACATATACATAATCCATTAATGATACAAAACAAATTACCCAAGATCAGACATTTTCAATAAAGGATAAATCTAGAATCTAATCTTAAAATAAAATTTGAGTGTTCCAAGATCAAGATTTTTTTTTCATATGCTTTATTCAATACCCAATTTATTATGTGCTTGTTTTTATGGTATGTTAAATATTATAATACAAATTAAGGAATTTGAATATCTAAAACTGAGACCATGTCTGTTGTGCACAATGCCAGTTCAGAAAGAATAGTACCAATAACTGTCCTTCATGTACTACTGTGAATAACAACTTATTGTTAATATAAACAATCTATTATGTAACTTTTTCTAGGTTCAGAGTTAGCTGTTTTTGAATTAGTGGAGAAACTGTTCCAGGGTCAGTTGGTATTGAGAACACGATGTTTGGAGTGTGAATGTTTTACTGAAAGAAGAGAAGACTTTCAAGACATCAGTGTGCCAGTACAAGAAGATGAACTTTCTAAAGCAGAAGAGAGTTCTGAAAGTAAGTAACAGTAAAGGGTCACAATGTGCATATCTGATTAATATATTTATAGTTTTGGGATCGGAGGGAGGGAGATGTGCCCTTGGTGTTTATAGAGGAATGTTACTTTGAAAAATGTGAAATGAAGTAACATTCAACTTCTGCTCTTAGATACACATCCACTGACTTCCCTAGGAATTGTGTGAGTTGTGCACTTGTCTTATCTCAGCCTTTGAAGATTTTGTTTAAATCTGAAACAAAGCAGCATACCAACTGTTTTTCAATCTGAGTTAATCTACATCCTGGCTGGTATCTCTCATTTTTGCACTTCCTGAGATTCAGTGAGCAGAGATAATTTACTTATCTTGGTTTAGGGTCTATTTGGTGCATTTTTAATATTCTTAACTTTAATACTAGTTCTTGCAAGTGTCTTAACTTGTATAGCTCTGTTTTAAAATTCTTGTGGTATATACTGGAAATGTATATAACTGTGTATCTGTAAATGTAATAATTCTCTTTTGTAGTTTCTCCAGAGCCAAAAACAGAAATGAAGACCCTAAAATGGGCAATTTCACAGTTTGCATCAGTAGAGAGGATTGTGGGAGAGGATAAATACTTCTGTGAAAACTGTCGTCATTACACAGAAGCAGAACGCAGTCTTTTATTTGATAAAATGCCTGAAGTTATAACAGTTCACTTGAAGTGCTTTGCGGCTAATGGCTTAGAGTGAGTATTGCAGATAAACTATATTAAGAAACAGTGCTGCTGGAAGAGAAACCTTGCCAAAACAGATGCAAATGTTTAAATTACAAAACTTGTTTGTAAACTGAATTTAACTTTGAAACATCACTTGTGAAAACAGAGGAATACAAGTAGTTTATTAGCTGTTTAGCACAGGCTCTTCCTATTTTAGCAAGCCACTAAAGAATTTTCTCAGTGTTAGATTTTTACCATGTTTTGTAATACCCTTGTGAAAGCTGGGGAAAATATTCTCAACATCTCATGCCAACATTTTTGTTTTCTTATATTCCTAATGGAGCTTGAAATTAAGATTTAAAAAAAAAAATTTTTTAAAGAAAAACTTGTTAATATCAACGATGGGGATAGATTAACTATTTCAGGATAACTAGTTAGTTAAAGGAGCTACAGAGCATAAAACTGGATTTGGCAACTGTAGATGGTAGAGATTTTGTCACTGAGTGGAGGATATTTTAGAAAGAAAATACTGGAGATTAGCCTCCCACGTTCACAACACATTTTTAAAGTATACCAAATTTAGACCATAGTAATTTGACTATGCCTTTGACTTTAAAAACACTCCACTACATTAATTTAGTTACTATAAGTGCCATTTATGTCAGTGCCTGTAGTTGAGCATTGGCAATATGCTCCTATACTATGTAAATCTTTATTTTGCTGAAAAGGTTACCGTGCCTAATTTCAGTATCTACTTTTTCTTCCAAATTTATGAATGTGAACAAAAATATTCTAGCAAATAGAAATGAATATGAATAGTACAATAGCAGTACACATCTGAGAATTTGGCTACAGCAACATACTTAATACAATTGTTTTAGGAGCAAGTTGGAAAAGCACATGAGCAAGTCACAATAGCACTATTCAGATCTCTGTAGAGAAATACCCATAAAGTGACAGAAGACCACATCTGAATACATTTTCATTATATTGTAAAATGTATTAAGAAGGTTATTTGTTGTAATCATCATCCAACCAATACATTAGAAATTAATGATCTAACATTACTATTTGAGCTCTCTTACAGTTTTTCATATGTTGAAACAACATATGCAGATTTGATCTGGCTTTCCAGCCTTCCCAGTATTCTAAATTACAAGTGATTACTTTCCTGCCACCTGCATCATTTCCTCAGGAAGCAGTAAATGGACACACTGTGCTTATTGACTCAATATTCCACCACTTTACTTCAGTCCCAGACCATGTTCCATCTTCCTGCTACTCAATACTGCACAGAATCAGAATTCAAGATATTAAATTAAATTACCCAAAGTTACAACTTCACTTACTGATTTAGGATGTTTTAGAGGTCCAAAATCTGTTAGAAGCTTCCTGTGTGACCTTGAGCAAGTCACTTAATTTCTCAGGGCTTTAGTCCCTATCTATAAAATGGGGATAATACTTTCATTCAAGATATATTTTGAAACTTAATTAATATTTATAAAGTGCTTGGGGAATCCAGGTGGAAGGTGCTAGGAGTAGCACAAAACATGACTTGACAAATGAGTGGTGCTAGGATACACTGTAAACAGTTACTGATAGCAACTTTATGTACATATATTTATAGCCAATATAAATGTCTGTTTGTAAAATAACCACGTTTTCAAAGGGTTATGTTACAATATTTTGTCTGGTAATCTTCTAAGCTCCTAAATAATGAATTTCTCCCAAGTGCCCATGAGTGCTGTAGAAATGAAAATCCGATCACAAAATAAAAGAACTAATTGATAGAATTAGAGCAGAATTCTAATGAAGGTACCTCAGTCGTCTTCTTTATTGCCTCCTCTTCAGTAGACCATTCGAGTTATAAAATGTTTACCTTGCATTCTTGTACATATTCCTTGATATGCAAACTAATTTTAGGCATTTCTTTGTTTTGTTTTAATTAATATTCTGAGTCAGATGGAAGAGCCCATACATTTCTGATCCTTCTGTAAGCAATTCAAAAATAAAACTATAGGGGGCTCCTGTCCCAGGGACCCTCAGTTTGTTTATAAGCTTAAACAACACTTTGTCTTCCTTGAGGATTTCTTTAATAATTTCCAGGTTACACAGCTGTTTTCCAAATGTCCTATCATTTTTTCTTCTGTCCTGGTGATCTTCAGATCCTCACTCAAAAATATTCACACTTCCATCCAGGCCAGTGATGCTATTTTGAACTGAATCTAGTCTCCCCATTTTCCCTTTGAACCATCTTGAATGCTTTCTGCAAAGGTATCATCAGCCAAAGTGCAAGGAATAAGAACAGAGAGATCAAACTTAATACTGGAGTCAGGAATGCAGCTGAAACGGTTTGGAAAGTTTATTCTAAGGTTCCACTTTTTGGTTTCAGCATTTTAACTTGGAATAGCAGTACTATATCTAAATCACTAGGCTTGGAGGAACAAAAGACACCTGCAAAACAAACAAGAACTGCCAAAGACAGTGAGCCAAAACACTGTCTCAGGTCACACCCATTGTGAGCCTGACTGGTTTATACATGAGAAAGTCAGCTCCTTTCTAATCTGCCTGGAAGAAAAAAATAGGACAAGAAGAGTGAAAGCTGAGCAATTGAGAGAAGGGATTTTTAATCACTGTTTAAAAATTTGGATTTTTGGTTAACATCTAGTTAGTGCCAATAATTGAGTAATGTTTTGGAGAAAGGAAATCTTTGTTAAAGATTCAGTTTCACCCCTCCAGTTAAGTTGTGTGTTAATACACATCCTTTGAGTCCCCCAATAATTTTTCTAGTGATACTGGGGAAGACCAGAATTGACATTCCTATTATTTATAAAACAAGCAGAAAAGTTTTTTGTTGTTTAAGTCCAAGCTTTTTAAGTGTCTATACATTGGAGTAGCAGAAAAAGGCTAGAAACTTTTTTTTTTTTTAAACCATCATTTGTAGGTCACAAAGAAAAATGTGAAATGATCCAATAATCTAACTTTACCATTTTTCTTTCAAAGGTTTGATTGTTATGGTGGACTGTCAAAGATAAATACTCCCTTATTGACACCTCTTAAACTGTCACTAGAAGAATGGAGCACAAAGTCTACTAATGATACCTATGGATTATTTGCAGTAGTAATGCACAGTGGCATTACAATTAGCAGTGGACACTACACGGCTTCTGTCAAAATTACAGATCTTAATAGTCTAGAATTAGACAAGGGCAATTTCATCACTGACCAGATGTATGAAGTGATTAAGCCAGAACCACTGAATGAGGAGGAAGCAAGAGCTGTTGCTGAAGATTATGATGATGGTGAAGTCTCTTTTAGAGTCAATGGAAATGCACAGTCAAGTAAAACTTTGAGCAAAAAGAATATGGAAGCTGTTGGACTTCTCGGAGGACAAAAAAGTAAGTCTGACTGTGACTTGTACAACAACAAAGCAACTAACCCTGAAAAGGTTGTTAATACACTAACTGAAAATAAAAATTTTGAGTCTACCAGTACTAATGGGATCTTGGAGTTTAATAAAAGTACTGAAAATGGTGATCAAAATGGTATAGCTTTCAGTGGACTAGAAAACAAAGCTTTGTATGTGTTACAAAGCTTGAAGGAATATGAGGGAAAGTGGTTGCTTTTTGATGATTCTGAAGTGAAGGTTACAGAGGAAAAGGACTTTCTGAATTCTCTCTCCCCTACATCGTCATCTACATCAACTCCTTATCTTTTGTTTTATAAGAAAATTGTAGAGTGATACCGTATTTTGTAAATATTGCAGATTTGCATACACCTGTTGATAGATATGCTTTTTGCATCAAGATTACCTTGATGTAACAGCTGTTTGTCTTTTGAAGCCACTGGATGAGATTATTATAGATCTTACAATTCTGTGTAAACAGCACAATTTGAATTAACAAACCATGTCATAGAACTTAAACTCCTACTAGAACTTCTGTACTGCGGACTAGTGATGTCACCTAGGAATACAAATTTGTATAGATTTTTAAAAGATGTCCAAAAATACAGTAGTGGCTTTTAAATAACTAGTTCTGTTACAACTGACTTGCGTATTATTAGCTTTTAAAAAAAAATAAAGTTATTTGTATTCATATTCTGGAGTAAATTTATATTAAGTAGTAAAACTCATCAGAGGTTGTGTATTTTTGTAACACTGGAAGCAATATTTCATATCTAGTCTTTGGGGCATCAGTATAGGGCACATAAAGTACGGCTATAGCTTAGTGATGACCTTCTTCTTTCCCCGCAAATATCTTTGCTGTGGTGTTCAAAGTACAAAAACAAACGGGGTCTTGTTAACTCATTTAATGTACTGGAAGGAGTGGTACAGCATCTTAAACTTTAACTTAATAGTGGATGTGATGCATACTAAGATTCTTTATATTGCAAGTATTAACTGATTCCTGTTCATACAGATTTGAATGAGCTAACCTGCATCTGTTTTGCATAGGTGTTAAGTGGACAAAGTGTAAATATGTGTGATATTGTAGGTATATCAGATGTATTTGTGGGAGAAAGAAAGCAAGTCAAATTGCTCATCTGTCTGCGGTGTAATAAAATATTTTGTACTTTAAAAGTCCTTTGCATATCTGTTTGGGTGGATTAAGAATTCAGATGTGATCTTATTACCTTAATAGGCTAATTTGTACTGAGAGCTCATTGAAACATGGGAAAACTAAAGCATTGGCTTGATCGTGAGTGTGTGTGTGTGTACACAGATGTATGAAATTAATGCCTATCATTTTACGTTTTTATTTTGTCTGAGATGAATAGATCAGATTATGTGTGAGAGCGTCTATTGCTCCGGCATTACTCTCTCTTCAATCAGTGGGGGATAGTAGGGCATAAACACATCCTGCTTCTTTGATCTTTCTTCGAGGAATAAATGTTAACTAAAATTGCTTAGTTCTGGCTTTTACAGTAACAAGATAATGACACTGGACAAAATTTAAACCCTTATGTGAACAGCATTTCTGATCCATCTCTTCAATAAGTTTTAAGGCCTACAGTAATTCATATGTTAAACTGTCAATAGTCAAAGGAGTTTACCAATAAACCTTAGGCAAAAGGAAAATAATTTGTCCCAGTTAGGACTAGGGTGTTTGCCTGCAAATTCAAAGGCAAAGATTTTTTTGAATAGGTGCTAGAAAAAATCACTTAAGGTAAGATCCTGCTGTTGTTACTCTGCATAGTACCTTACTGCCTGGATAGTTCACTTCTTTTAGTAGTTGATCCATAACTGTGTTTTTAAGTTAGGCAAAAGAAAAGCCATGTAATTGATGTACTATAGTATGCATGCTCTACCTTAAGTCTTCAGAACATGCCTGTCGCAGGCAAGGGGGAGGTGACTGATAGACTTCTACTTTAGTAAGCTTAATATAGGGTGACCAGATGTCCTGATTTTTATAGGGACAGTCCCGATTTTTCTTATATAGGCTCCTATTACCCCCCACCCCCATCCCGATTTTTCACATTTGCTGTCGGGTCATCCTAGCTTAATAGGAGGAGAAGTTTAAAGGGCATTGCTTAATCAGATGAGTTCAGTGAGCACACATCACTTCCTGAAGGATGCAGCTCACATTAACTCCCGGTTTACCTAAGTTAATACTGTACTTTTCAGTGTAGGCGTAAATTCACACCGAAAGGAAAGGAAAGGCAAGGCTACATTTTGGATCTTCTCTTGCTCACACATTGCTGATTAGTTTCCACCACTCAAACACAATGAATATAAAAGCCTAATAAAAAATGGTTACCTACGTCTTGTAACAGTTGTTCTTCGAAATGTGTTGCTCATGTCCATTCCAATAGGTGTGTGTGCACACGCCACATGCATGATGATCGGAAGGTTTTTCCCCTAGCGGTACCTGTTGGGTTGGCTGTGGAGACCCCTGGAGCCTTCATGGTGGTGTATATATAGGTCCCTGCTGACCCACCGCCTTCTCAGTTCCTGCTTGGCAGAATACTCCAACAGAGGGGAGGCGGGTGAAATTTGGAATGGACATGAGCAACACATCTCAAAGAACCACAGTTACGAGGTAGGTAACAGGTTTTTCTTCTCCGAATGATTGCTCATGTGCATTCCAATAGGTGACTTCCCCTGTGGAAGGGGTCAGAATTCACTTGGTTGCTGAGCATAGGACTACCCTGCCAAAGACTGCATCGTCCCTTGCCTGTTGAGTAATGGCGTAATGCAGGGGTGGGCAAAGTTTTTGGCCCGAGGGCCACACTGGGGTTGCAAAACTAGGGAGGGCCAGGTAGGGAAGGCTGCCCCTCCCCAAACAGCCTGGACCCTGCCCCCTATCCGATCCCTCCCACTTCCCACCCCGACTGTCCTCCTCTGAACTCCTGACCCATCCAACCCCCCTGCTCCTTGTCCCCTAACCGCCCCCCTGGGGACCCCACCCCCTATCCAACCTCCCCGGCCCCTGACTCCTATCCACACCCCTGCCTCCTGACAGGACTCCCACACTTATCCAAACTCCCCCCTCCCCACTGTGTCTCCTGACTGCCCCCTCCCCAGAATCTCTGCCCCATCCAACCGCCCCCAATCCCCATCCCCTGGGACCTCCTACCCCTTATCTAACCCCCCGACCTCAGCCCCCTTACCATGCTGCTCAGAGCAGCATGTTTGGCTGCCACACCACCCGGCCAGAGCCAGACACGCTGCTGCACTGCCCTGCAGGAGTGCGCAGACCTGCCACCCAGAGCACTGCCCACATGGTGGTGTGGCTGAAGGGGAGGGCCTAGGGTCTAGCCTCCTTGGCTGGGAGCTCAAGAGCTGGGCAAGATGGGCCTGCGGTCTATAGTTTGCCACCTCTGGCGTGGTGTGACGTGAAGGTGTGGATGGAAAACCATGTTACTGCCTTGCGTATGTCCTGGATAGGGACCTGCGCCAAGAATGCTACGGTTGCACTCTTGCGGAGTGTGCCGTAAGCGGAGGGGCTGGAATTTTACCCAGGTCATAGCACGTCCTGATACAGTACGTGATCCATGATGAAATGCACTGGGACGAGATCGGGAGCTCCTTCATCCTTTCTGCGATTGCAATAAAGAGCTGTGGTGACTTACAAAATGGCTTTGTGCGCTCAATGTAGAATGTTAGGGCACAGCTAACATCCAGGAAATGGTACATGTGCTCTCTGTTACTGGCATGAGGCTTAGGGAAGAACACAGGTAAAAATATATCCTGGTTCACACGAAACTGGGAGACTACCATTGGTAGAAACGCAGGGTGAGGGCATATCTGCACCTTGTCTTTATAAAAAGACCGTATGGGGAGCTCGGAAGTCAGCGCTCTGAGCTTGGGTACCCTTCTGTCCGAGGCTATGGCCACCAGAAAGACCACCTTCCAGGAAAGGTAGGACAGAGGGCAGGTTTCCATGGGCTCAAAAGGGGGCCCCATGAGCATGGACAGGACCAGGTTGAGGTTCCACTAGGGCAAGGGTCTCAAATGACCACAAGGGCCACGTGAAGGCTAGTTAATTGGCCTGAGGGCCACATCACTGACACCCGCCCCCTCACTGCCCCCACTTTGCCCCTTCCATGAGGCCCTGCCTCTTCCCACCCCTTTCCTGCCCCCATTCCAACCCCTTCCCTGAAGTCCCCACCCCAATTCTGCCCCTCCCTGCCCCTAGAGAGTGCATGAGGTGTTTGGCGGGGGCTCAAGGCAGGGAGTTGGGATGCAGGCAGGGGGCTCAGGGTGAAGAAGGGGTGTGGGATGCAGCAGGGGGCTCAGGGCAGGGAGTTGGGGTGCAGAAGGGGTGTGGGGTGCAGCAGGGAGCTCAGGGTAGGGGGTTGAGGGGCAGGGAGGTGGGGGGGGGGGGCGGCGGCATGCAGGAGGGCTCCGGAGTGGCAGCGGCGCACACCGGGGCCAGGGCAGGCTACTGGCCCGCTCCGCTCTGGGAAGTAGCTGGAACCATGTCCCTGTGGCCCCTGGGGGAGCCGTGCCTGCAGGTACCTCCCCCGAAGCTCCCATTGGCCATGGTTCCCCGTTCCCGGCCAATGGGAGCTGTGGGAGGGGGGAAGGGTACCTGGAAGCCAGGGCAACACACAGAGGGAGCCCTCTGCTTCTCCACCCTCACCTCCCCCCCGGCTGCATGGACGTGAGGCCAGCCGCTTCAGGGAGCGGCGCGGGGCTCGAGGGGGGCAATCCTGTAGTTTGCCCACCAGTGGCCTGGACATAGGCCGGGGCGGGCGTAGGCCGCGTGTTTGAGACCTCTGCACTAGGGCATGGGCCGTCATAACTGGGGATAAAGTCTGTCCAAGCCCTTAAGAAACCGGCCCACCCCGGAATTGCTGAAGACCACCTGCGGCCCCTAGGTGGAAGGCCAAAATGGCAGCCAGGTGTACCCTAAGAGATGATATTGCCAACCCCTGCTGCTTGAGGTATAACAGGTAGTCCAAAACAAGGGGAATTGGCACTAGCTGCGGTTCGGTGCCCCCCTGCAGAGACCAGATGGAAAAGCACTTCTACTTTGCCAGGTATATGGCATGAGTGTAGAGTTGCCTACTTCCCAGCAGGACCTCCCTAACTGGGTCCGAACACTGAAGCTCAAGAGGGTTCAGCCAGGGAGTTTCCACACCATAAGGTGGAGGGACTCCAGGTTGGGGTGTTGTAGACGGCCGTGATGAGGGTCGGGCACACAGGAAGGGCTCCTGGTCTGTCCACTGAGAGGTTCAACAGCATGGTGAACCAGTGCTGGCGGGGCCATGCTGGTGCTATGAGAATCAAGGAAGCCCTGGCCCGGTGAGTCTTGAGGACTTTGTGTATGAGAGGGAAGGGCGGGAACGCATACAGCAGGTGACTTGTCCATGAAAGTTGAAAGGTGTCCGCGATGGAGCTTGGGCTGTGGTTCAGGAAAGAGCAGAACCGCTGGCACTTCTTGTTGTTCCGCGTCGCAAACAGGTGTATCGAGTGGGCGATGCAAAAGTCCCACAGCTTGAGGGCTTCCTGGCACACGGGAGAGGAGCAAGCACCACCCTGGTTGTTTATACAGAACATTGCTGCAGTGTTGTCCATCAGCACCGATACACAGACACCCTGCAGGTGGACCTGGAACGCTTGACATACCAGAAGAACTGCCCTCAGCTCCCTTACGTTGATATGCAGCAACAGTTCTGCGTGGGACCACTGGCCTTGGGTTCTGATATTGCCCAGGTGCACTCCCCAACTGCAGCTACCATTGGAGAGACTTGAGGATGCAAGGGAGGAGGATAACTATCGTGTCCAGTGGGTCCCTACCCGGCCTGTGCACCCAAGCCAACCACGCCTGGAGGGGCTAAAGGCGTAACCTGGTGTGCTGGACCACGTATGTGCAGGCTGCTATATGCCCCAATAGTTTCATGAAATTTCTGGCAGTGGTTGTGGGGAATCGGCGAAGGTTTTCAATAATGTCCGTGAGTGCTTGGAAGAACAGCTCGGGCAGGAACGCCCTGGCCTAGGTTGAGTCCAAGAGAGCTCCTATTAATTCTATTCTCTGTGTGCGGGCTAGTGTGGAGTTGGGCACATTCAATATGAGGCCCAGCCTGTGGAATGTGGCCCTGGCCAGAGACACATCCTCTGCAGCCTGTTCTTGCGACTCGGCCTTGATGAGCCAATGTATGGGAATACTTGCACCTGACATTTGCGGAAGAAGGCTGCCACGACTTCCATACAGTTGGTGAATACCTGGGGGGCTGCTGAGAGCCCAAACTACCTGAACTGGTAGTGCTCACTGCTGACGCCGAAGCGAAGAAAACATCTGTGGGCCGGGATAATGGATATATGGAAGTGCGCATCTTTCAAGTCGAGGTTGGCGAACCAGTCCCCCGGATCCAGGGAAGGAATGATGGCAGCTAGAGAAGTCATGCAAAATTTCACTTTCCTTATGAATGTGTTGAGGTCTTGCAGATCTAGGATAGGCCGGAGCCCATCATTGGCCTTGGGGATGTGGAAATAGCGGGAGTAGAACCCCCTTGCCTCTGAACTCCTGAGGAACCTCCTTTATTGCCCCTAGAGCGAGGAGCGATTGCCCCTCCTGCAGAAGGAGTTGTTCGTGAGAAGGGTTCCTGAGGTGGGAAAGAAAAGGGGGGAGGGAAGAGAATTGGATAGAATATCTCATCCCTACTGTGCTCAGGAGTCAGGACCCAGTGATCTGGGACCAAGCACGGTAGAAGCGGGAGAGTCGATTCACAAGGGGGGGTAAGGATCAGAGTTTGATACTGATGCTCTGTCCTTGGGCACATCTTCAAAAGTTTGGCTTTGGGTGGCCTGGGGGCTGTGTGGCCAAACCCTGGCCTTGGCCTGAGGAGGACTGTGACGGGCGCCTCCTATTATTTCTGCCCCTGAATGAATCTTGCCTGGGAGGCCCAGAGTAGAAACAGGATGGAGGCTGAGGCTTAAAAGGCTTTCTTTGGGGTGCAGGGGTGTGGATCTCCAAAGACTGCAAAGTCGCCCATGAGTCTTTAAGGCTGTGCAGGCAAGAGTCCGTATTTTGGAAGAACAGGCCTGCACAGCCAAAGGGGAGGTCCTGGATCGTATTCTGGACCTCAGGTGGTATCCCCAACACCTGCAGCCATGCACTGCGGCTCATTGTAAGGGCGGTGGCCATAGTCTGAACCGCCGAATCTGCTGTGTCTAACACGGCCTGGAGGAAGGTTCTCGAGACCACCCTGCCTTCCTCAAAGAGCACGCTAAACCCCTTGCGCGAGTCAGCCGGGAGCAACTCCTGCAACTTTGCCAACCAGCTCCACGCTGACGGGGCCTGAGCTTGCGGTGCCGGAGCTCACACCTGCGGGGCCAGGGACTGCACTATCATGGCAATGAGGTCCCACACAGCCTCATAGGCATGGAGGGGAGGTCGAGCTCTTCCTCCAAATCCTCCTGAGTCGGGGAGTCCACAAACACTGGACTTGACGGGCCTCCTGTTGGGGCTGGAGTCAATGGTGCCGGGTCTTGAGGTCCAAACCATGGGTGTCCCGCCGGAGGACGCATCCTGCTGGAATCACCTCACGGCTTCTTGATGGGTAAACGACCCCTGTCTGCCTTCTTTTTCTTATGTGGCACCGGGGACTGTAAGCGGTGCTGCCTGGTAGCACTGGCCTTACGAGCCAGGGAGCGGCGCCGGTGCTCCTTGGAGGAGTCCTTTCTCGGTGCCGGGGAGCTGCGCACCGATGATGCTGGTGCTGTTCTGGTGCCGGCTGGGGCGGAGGGCTGACTCCATTAGGAGGAGCTTTAAACAGTAGTCCTGCTCTCTCTTAGTCCTGGGTCTAAAGCTCCTGCAAATTGGGCACTTATCTGTCTGATGGCTCTCTCCTAAGCACTTGAGACAAGCAGTGTGCGGATCGCGTCTGGGCATAGGTTTCACACACCTCTCGCACGCCTTAAACCCCTGCGACCGAGGCATGCCACAGTGCCTGGGGAAACCCCCCCAAAGTAAGCCCAACTAACTACAAACCACTATATAACTAACATAACTATTTACAACTAAGAAAAGGGAACCACTACATAGGCTCTTGCGAATGCAAGAGACTGAGCTGCTCCAATGATGGTCACTGGCGGTAAGAAGGAACTGAGCAGGTGGCGGGTCAGCAGGGACCTATATACACCGCCATGAAGACGTTCGACGGGTACCGCTAGGGGAAGAACCGTCTGACTATTGTGCACGCGGCGTGCACACACACCTATTGGAATGCACATGAGAAATCACTCGAAGAAGAAAAAATGCTATTCTGTTCTTACTGGTGTTAGCTAGATATCAACAATGAGTTCATGAGAATTGTACCTATGTATCTAAGGGCAGCATTGAGCTTAATGAAACACATGCATCCTGTTATGGCAAACTAACCTTTAAGTGAATGTTTGTTCTCTATGTAGAAACATCATTGCAGGTACCAGCCAGAACTCAATCCAGTAGCTCTGGGCAGAAAAGGGGTATTTGTTCACAGATTAAAGGAGTTACAGGCAATTGGAGTGGGAGGATTAAAACAAAGAATCTATACTATTTTCTATCCTGTAACCCCCTATGGCCTGGCATTTTACAAAGCTGAGGAAAAAGCACAGTATATATTTTACATCACACATAATCCTACAGATTAAAACTTCAAAAGGTACTATCACTGACAACGGTTGAGCGGAGGAGGGAGTCCATTAATCAATTAGGAAAGACAAGGACTAGAACTCAACCCTTACAGTTCAAACATATGAAATATCCTGCATTCTTTGAAGTACAATGAAGTCCTTTCCTGATTAAATCTAGGCTGAAAACCATCTTCCTTTCGAACACTTCATTATGACTATAGTGGAAGATGTCATAGGCATATTTTCCCATCTGCTCTTAAAAGTGTGATACATACATAATAGGATCAGTAATTTATATCTGTTGTCATGACAGTGGGTGACATGGAAACTTTATAGAAAAAAAATCATGTCTGGAACATTCTCCTTAGAGAAATATAGTATGCCCTCATTTCCAGCACATATTTAAATTACCCTTGTGTAAGGAATTAAAACTATAAGCTGGCCTATGAGTCACAAAAGAAAGGGTGATAAAGCTTTACTGAAACTTCCACAAAACTAAACTATTCTTCAAGGTGGGGAGGGCTGCTGCAAAACCAGGTCCCTAGTACGATTTAAACATCAGTTGTGCAGGGCAAATAGGATAAAAATATATTCATAAATATGCTTCAGCCTTGGAGTGATGTAGGTCTGTAGTGTTACTGAGGAGCACATTTAAAGGTGGCTTGGTAAATATACTTATGCTAATATAAGCTCTTTATTATTTGAATAAGTCTATAATGATTCTTTTTCCAAAAGAGAGAGAAATCTGGCTCTGCATGCCTCTTGATGCCTTCTTTCTCCACAGTAGGTATCAACAGAAAGTGACTAAATTATTTGGTCTAAAACAAGAATTGTCCAATCTGAGTATAGTCCTACCCTGAAAAACTGGCACAATCAAAAAGCCCTAAATATAAAACATCCTACCACACAATCCTACCACACCTAGTGTAGGGCTTGCTCAATTTCAGCCTGCAAATGAAAATACCTTTTTCAAAATTTTGGCCCATAAAGGGATTAGAGCCCTGAAAGATTGTTTCCTTAATATAAGTCCTTCAATCAATTACAGCCACAACAGGATATTGAAACAATTTTACATGGAACAAAGACGACAGTATAACCAATGCTAGATCCAGCTCTCTTCCATAATTACATGGAACAGCTGTAGAGAAACATCTTCATTTATAAACAATCAAGCATTTTACACAATCCTACTGAATACTGACTGAATGAAAAATATCCTCTGGTACAAGTTCGGAACTAAGAATGGGAACAGATGTATCAGATGCTTACTTGCCTAAAGCCATTTCTACCATTCCTGAAATGTCAATTTACAATAGTTGAACAAATGCAGTCTTAAATTACTCAGACTATTGTTTCTCTGCAACTGAAAACAAATAGGTCAGAATTACTATTTAACTTTACAAAATGATACATAAGGTAACGCTCCATCACAATTTTTAGATTAACCATCTAAATATAAAATCATCTAATCATCTAAATATAAAAACTGTCTGAATCTGGGATAAACTCTCCAGATTTACATTGACTTGGGGTCCTGGTCTTACACCCGTTGTAGTCAGTGGGAGTCTTTCCACGGATTACAGTGGGTTTAAGGTTTAAGATTTAAGAATGGACATCGTTCCTTTAGATGTGAACGTATAACAGAACATTGTATGTAATGAGTTAATTATATTGGGGCTATTAACCTTTCCTTCTTGATTTTAAATATCCCTTCAATGTGGGGGAGCTACAGCGACCTTTATATTTAAGTTGCTTATCATTTTCTGTTATAAAAGGTTCTTGCAACCTTTCTGCTACAAAAGTTCTTGAACTTCCATTTTTTGCTGCAGGCCTCTGAAATTGGCGTGGAGAAAACCCCTTAGGCTAGAGAAATGCATTTTCTTTGGCCACCAAATTCCATTCAGATCTAGCTGAGATATAAACTGTTAAAAATAATTACTTCTGTATAACTTGTGTTCTTCAGGAAAATTTTGGCTACCAAAGTAATCTTCTAAAGAGAAGAGAAATGCTGTTCAATTTTTACCTTAAGGAAAAAAAAAAAGCATTACAAAGTACATACAATAAAACTATGTTAAAAGAAAGTTATTTAGATTTCAAAATCCAGCACTCAAAAATTAGGAGACAGGATTTATAGTTGCACAAGCAACCTTAATGTGCCCCCTTGTGCATATGCAGTATGATTTAGTTACACTATCATATACCATTATTTTTAGAGAACCCCTCTCTCAGTGCATAGGTTGGAAATGTAAAGAGTCAGAATTAAGGTTGCCAGGCAACCATAAATCTGGGGTTTCCTAACTTTCAAGAGCTTGACTTAGCAACTTAAAGAACTTTCTTTAAAATGTAGTTTTTTTGTATGTAATAAAATGTAAACTGTAACTTCTACTAAGCACCAGTGCAATTATATATGTATATTTTATTTTAATTTATTTAAATGTGTATGTCATTTTCTTCCAAGATGTGTTTTTATATAAAATTATAATAAAAAGATGACAATAAAAAGCTTTACCTCAAGCACACTGCAAGGCTAAACTATACACATGAGGGGACTACTGTGCTGTAACTGGGTTTCCTGGTTTAGTAGAAATTACAGTGTAAACAAGACTGTAGCAATACATCTACTTTACCAGTACAGAAGAAACAGGTTAGAGTAAGTGGTAACACATTCCTATGTACAACAAAAGTCATTATCTTAGGAGCATATGTAAAGTTTTTTTCCTTGCAGCAGTCCCCATCAAAGATACAAAAACAAGTTAGAGATGATATGGTCACTCATTTAAGAATTGTTGTCTTAAGACTTACCTTTCTTTCTAGCTTTCTCCTCAAGGGTGATGAGCTCTGAAGTCCAACACGTAGTGAATTAAAATGTAAACATTCACATATTTAATAGTACCATTGAAATAACCAGCACTACATTAAAAACTGTTCAAAAATGCATTTGCAAATGCTCCTAATATAAATTAAATATATGAACTAAAAAGGAAATATATTTAACATTAGGTAATGCTATAAATAATGGTAAATGCATTTAGTGTACCTTTGAGTCATAAAAATGCCTTAAAAACAGGTAAGTTTACAGCATATCACCAGTACTTTGCATACCACTGCCATGATTTTTTTTAAACATCAATAAGTCTACATTGGACAATTCAGAATAATTTTTGGCCACTTAACACTTCAATGTAAGTAAGTAAAATGGGTGTATGTATGGTGTCCAGGATGAAGTCCAAGTTTTATTTCTCAATAAAACTTCTTTGATTCCCAACGCTGATAACATGGCTTGCTCTTTTCAATACCTTAAAATTAAGTGCATTTTGGAAAACTTGTTTAGATGTCCATTTTGCGAAGGCTCATTCTGCTGAAGGAGTCTCTGGGGGGGGGAGGGGGGGGGAGGGAGAAAAAAACAAGACGATAAGCTCATATTTTCCATTGTGAATTAAAAAGTCCATGCTCTCCATTAAGATGAACAGTGCTTTTCTGTACATGATTTCTATGTTTGCTCACTGCAAAAACTGACTTGAATTTTTAAAATTAGTTTGCTAATTTGGGTTTGCATTTTGAGAACATTGGTGTGATTGTGTTTTATTGACATGAATATTCACAGATGATGAAATTCAGAGGGACAGCACAAGGCCTGGGCACCTCTTAAATCCTATGGGAAATTTCACTCACAAAACATTTCTAAACTTCATGTGAGAAAACCAAATCTGAAATTCATATGCATGAGTAGTTGTGGCAGAAGGCCTCATGAGATCATCCAGCCAGGGAACAGAACAGAAACCAAACTATGCGACTTACCTGACCAATCAACAACAAACTAAAAATAGCTCAAATAAGGAATACTCAGAGAATAGTTCATGAGCCAGCCACAAAGTTGAGAACAAGAAACATTTTGAATATTGATGAAACTGGAGGAAATTGCCATCAATTAGTAGAAAAATACACCAAATCTGTCAGTTATTCATTGTGGATTTTTTGCTGAATTCTAGTTGGACAGAGTTCTTCTCTGTTTGTGTTTCCTGTTGCTCTCTACTGCTGAACAACGGCTACCCAAACGGGAAACTTTAGGATGAGGGCTATATTCTTTTGAAGCAGTTGCATGTAGCAAGAGTTGTTTTGAAGACCACACACAAACAAAACAGTAATAATGTTCATACAATGAAAGGAACTGTAGCTCGCTTGCTACTTGCATTTAATAGGTTAGGCTTCTTCTCCTATGCTTCAGTGATGTATATTTAAAAAACAGACTGGTTGGACATTAGGACATATTAAGTATAAGTCCTTAGCACAGTTTTGTGCTATTTCACCCTAACTTGCTACTGGATCATTGCATGAATTATAATGTCACTAGTATCCTCCCGGTCCTAAGAGCCATAGAAGACATACGAATGGCAATTAGGGATAAAGAGAAGGCTAATTTCAGGAATTGCCAAGCCTGCTACTTCTTCAATAAGCAAGGAATATGTAACAGGAGACACTTAATCACTATCTTGTTCTCAGGATTGTAGATTGGGGGCTATCATTTGTAAGGGGTTGTAGTAGTTTTGGGTGGGTGCTTTTAACCCTAAATCCATTGCAGGAACAGCATGCAAATTCCACTTGCTCCATCATAATATGTGCACTTGTTAAAATCAACTCTCATAACACTAATAGCATAAATGGCTCCTGACCTGGTTGATAAAATAATTAATGATTTTATGTTAAAACCCATTGCAGATGAATGGAAATGGTTAGTCTGCTTCGGAAAGGTCTCCCAACATGGACAATATTCACTGGCTTTCTAATGTGAAGCTCTACAATCCATACTGTGCATCTGCTAGGATACTCACCCCAGGGGTTCTTTAGCTACCACTCAAGGGATCATTGGGCTTCACTCCCCACAATTTTAGGTACAGAACTGACTGGACTTGGAGGAGGAGTGGTCTTGAACCTGTTATGAGGAAGGAGCATCCTAATGGAATGGGGAGAAAGGGGCCATACCAGAAAAATCTGCAAAGGCAAACTGGCCAACCAATGCATCCTGCAGTGCAAGACATATGGGGAAGTGGATGGACCCACCTTCATTTCTTCTTCAAAGATCTATGGTAAGGAAAGTGGTTTTAAACACTCCCAGAGGAGTCTCCTGTTCCCATTCCTATGTCCTCTTTATGCCCCATATCATTTCAGCTGAGTTTTTGTTTTTAAATATTACCCGAGCTAGGTTGAAATAGAGTAAAATTAACATCCACCTGTGGCAAGCGACAGGCAAAACTGCCTTGTATAACTGCGGGATCTTTCTATTTATCAAGGGCTGGAGCGCTTCCTTGAGCCGGTGATAGTTCCTTTCAAGCTCCCGCTGATATTCCTTTTGGTCTGGACCTATCAGGCTTTTGTTTTTGCGTAACGCATCTTCACACCTAGAAAACAAAATTTTGTAAAACTCTGGCAGACAACAGGGGACCTGCTTGCTAGATGCCTGTTAATTTATTAGTATGAGAGCATTTAATATTCTCCTGGCTTGACACTTAATATCCTCTATCTTGTCTTTTGGGTAATAAGGACTCAGCTTATCTGGTTGGTTTCCTTGGGGAGAGGATAGTGAGTCATATTTCTAATTTCCATTTTATTCATAGAGTTGTGATTCATTTTTAAGTTTAATTTGTTCTCCTATAACATTTCTCCTCTGTGAGGAGGAATGGAAAGCTTATCTCCACAGCCATTTTCAGTCCCAGGGGGTTTAAAGATGGATGTTTTCACTGCCAGCCCTAAGAAAAGATTATTAAGCAGCAGACTATTAAATGTTCACTGTGAACTCTAGTATTTTGAACGATGCAAATTAAACAACGTGTCTAAATAGGAATTGATAATATCAATGCCACTTTATTTCATAATGAATAACCAGGCTGCTTCTGGATCTACTAGCGCAGAAGAGGATTTGTAATTTCAGTTATTTTCACCAATTGTTTAAATGCTCATGAGATTTAGTGCCGGATTGAGACTGCAATTCTCTTTGCCAACAAGGAAGGAAAAATAGAGCAGCAGCACACGTCCTCAGAGAACTCTGCCAACATGTTTCAAACCCACTTGGAGAGGGTAATTCAGTGTCCCTGCCAAATCAAGTTTGCCTTTTCTGTTGACACTATCAATAAAGATGTTCATTAGTGCCAATTACGGTAGTGGGGTTTTTGAGATGAGGACACCTGTCCATAAGGAACTCTGCCGAGACCCCCACTTCATTTCACATACACACCCATACCTAATGACTTGGGGCCACTTGACAGTACTTCTCAGAGACAGATGGCACCAAGCAAACAGAAAACACATTTTTTGAACAGACTTGTTCCTCGAACAGAGCAAATGGTGATTACTGAATCTTTTGCTACATTACAAGTGTATTCTTTTAACAGGCACTGGACACCCCCTTATATTAGTATACCAATTTCTGTTTAATGCACTGAAAATAAATGTTCTTGGAAGGCGTTTGAAGCCAATACTCTACCTTTTTGTGAAGTCTTTGAAACAGAGCCGTAGTTTGTTATGGTGTCTGAAGAGCTTTGGATCATTGGGTATTTCAGACAAGAAAACCTGTGCAACTTCTAATGGTCCCTTTAGGAGTAGAAGAGAAAACAGTAAGCTTCTCTGCACGCCTGTCGTATCCATTGGAGAAATCTTACATATAGAAACTTTCATAAAATGCAACATTCCCTTAGAGGGTATTTCTTGGTGAATTGTGTCTTCTAAGTCCAGAGTAAATCACCAACTATCATGACAAGTGAAAATGTCTGTTATTCTCAAGATAATCTTTAAAGCGTGGGTCTGCTTTTGGAAAGTGACTGTAAAATACATGAGATTCCACATTTATTCTTTCTCAATGGCTTCTAAATCAAATGTGCTCAGTTGTCAAGTAAACAGATATTTAACACTGAAAACTGAACCAGTACAGTAGTTGTTTGCCAGCCCTGCAAAATGAACGTAGGGTCTGAAATTCAAGTTATAATTTTTCTGGCTTGTGCAGTAGTAAAGATTCTGCAGGCAAAAATCTTCCCTCATCTTTTACCTGTGCAATTGTATTACTTTCAAGTCCACTGATATTGCAGAAACCAAAATACAATCCAGCTCACTCACTCTTAGCTTTGGTAGCTCTGCAGGGCTAACCAGAGTGAGAAGTAGCAATACTTATTTTTATCAAAAAAGCAAGCAGATATGATTCTGAATACCAACAAGCAGCAGGTCAGCTGACTAAGATGGGCCAGTTTCACTTAGTCACTGTATTGATCGGAACCATACTTTCAACGATTGCAGCTCAAATCATAAAATCGCTGATAGTAACTAGTCAAGAATCAACAGAAAAATCAATCTTGCATCTGTGGTTTGGGCTGTAATCTTACTGCAGAGGAAAGGACATTCACCAAATCCATCATTCAGAGTGAGGTACTGTAAACTATTATTTACCACCTCACAGAAACATACAAAAAGCTGGGGTTCCAGTGGCATCATTCAATTATATTTGCCATTACCTAGAGCAGTGTTTCCCAAACTTGGGACGTCGCTTGTGTAGGGAAAGCCCCTGGTGGGCTGGGTCGGTTTGTTTACCTGCGGCGTCTGCAGGTCCAGACGATCGCAGCTCCCACTGGCCGCAGTTCGCCGCTCCAGGCCAATGGGGGCTGCTGGAAGCGGCGCGGGCCGAGGGACATACTGGCCGCCAGGGGCTTTCCCTACACAAGCGGTATCCCAAGTTTGGGAAACACTGACCTTGAGCATTTGGACAGGAGAAAAATTTCTCTGTCAGCAATTATATTAGAAGTGCCCCCATTCTATGGTATGCTTGGTTTTAATTCAGGGCACTGAAACTATTTTCCACTCAGAGTTGACTTTCTGTTGCTGAGGTACTTTATTGCTGTGTTCCCTCAACAACAGAGAGAGTAAAATCTCTTTATAACCTCTCTGGATTTTCACTTCTCCCCTGCTAGACTATACCTAATGCCAAAGGTGTCCAACCTTTGCAACACAAAGGGCTACAGTGGCAATTTGCCCGGATCACAATGCTGCCTCTGATTTGTAGGTGACAACAATTTTAAAAACAAAACGATAATTACTATTTACAGAGAACGAACAATATGCTCAGCTCTGTGCAAAACACAAAGGAAGGTACCAAACCATCACAATAGCCACTTTCACGTAGGTTTTCCTTGATAGATGAAGATAAATTGTATGTTGTTTGCATTCCCCAGCAATAAAAACCTGCAGTTGATCTGCTCTGTCCACTTCCTGCAGAGACCAAGCTTCTGGTTGCTTGATATTTTCATCGGTACTTTAATTGTGCTATTAGCTGTGAAGTATGTTTCTAAAGTGACTTCGCACATTTTAAAAATTAAACGAAAAAAATCCGGACAAAAGCAGTTTTCACTGACACAACTTTAAGCCTCCACCAAGCTTGAACATCCATCTGAGTGATATGCAATATCCGAGCGTGTTTAAAGCACGATAAAGTGATTCTCACCTGATTTACCGTTGTACCTACTGAACCTTGCAGCACCATTTGGAGCATCTTTGGGTCTGCTGGATCTTGATGAGTCGCAAAAGCCAATTCCTGTGTTTTTTTCTGCATGTCCTCTATGGCAACTTCGATGGGTGTCAAAATTATCTACAGAGGCAAATATTAGCCAGAAATATGTGGACTGCATTTTTTTTTTTTATTATGGCCAAGATTTTCGAAAAGAGGCACCTAAAACTAGGCTCCCAGGGTGGGATTCTCAAAAAGCACCTATGTGACTTGCAAGCCTAAATCCCATGAGAAGTTAATAGGACTGGTGTTCTGAAGTCACTTTGGTGCTTTTGAAGATCCCACCTCTGAGCCTTCATTTAGGGTCCTAAATAAGTGACCCGGATTTTCAGAAGTGCTTCTGCAGCTGGGTGCTTAGAGCTTTTAAAAATTAGGTCCCTTGTGCCTGTTGCACCCCATTGTGTTCGATCAACCCACATGCAAGAAGTTGAAGGATTACAGCCTTATTCAGATACCTAAATATGCATTTAGGACCCTGGCTGTAGGTTCCTGTAGTGGAAAATCTTGGCTTAAATTATGTTAGGGACAATTCTTTCTATTAATGGCAGGCTTCTGAAGTAAGTGAGGGAGGGACCCAGTGTAACTGCTGAGGTGGAGCACATGTTCCTCGAGCAAAATGGCAGAGACATAACTCGTGCTACTACATGGCAGACTCAGACCTTGTCTACATGCACAGACTTGTACACATTCAACTTCAGGGCTGATTTTAAACCAGTTCAAACGGCTATGTGGACACACTTATTTTGGTTTAGTTTAAACTGATTAGGAACAGGTTTAAGCTAAAGCAAAATAAACTAAAATAAAGAGTGTTCCACCTAGGAGTTTCCACTGGTTTAAGTTTGTGTATAGACATGGCCTCAGATAGACTAAGGTCCAGTACTGAAATGCTCACAAGGAACAGACACTGCTGAGTCTGGCCTCTTCAGCGGAATGATGTAACCACAGCTGTTAAACTTGTAGGAACTGGCTTTGTCGTTTGGGATGACACCACAAAGCCTCTGGCTTTGAAGGACAGTCCCTCCTTTATTTGATTCAATACATGCAACAGTGCTTTCTGGAGCATGCAAATGCCCATAACACAGATAAACCGCTAGTGAGAATGAGTGACTTTGACATCCAATGGGCTAAAGTTTCATTCTTTATCCCCTGCAAATTGTTCCAGTAAGAACCTCTTTGTAATGTTTTAATAAAGCAAATAACTAAGGATTGCCCATCTTTGTCTGTAGCAGCCTGGTCTGCTTTACAGAGCTCACCATGCACGAGTCTCAGCAATGCAAGAGAGGCTGATAAGCTTATTTCAACACAGCTTATTAGACTTTTTGTTGTGGCACTACAAGGCACTCCCCTCCCCCGCCACTCGCCACTGTTCGGGATTCATAATAGACCCAATGCACAGGTCTCACCTCTTCTTTGTGACTGACATTTATTCTGGTTTTAATGTAAGGAAAAGCATGGGAGGTCGTCAAGATTGTCTTCCGCTTGAACTGTTCATGCAGCTCCCCATGAGCACGTCCGTCCAGGGTGAAGGGCGTGCAGTACATGAAACGCCGCAGGTTGTAGTTTTTGTCAAAATAGGTTATCCTGTCCTTCATCTCGTATGTGTCGAAGTAGGGCTCCACATAGGTTATCTGAATGTAGGCCTGGAATAGGGAAAACAAGTTTTCAGATAACAAAACACAATGCAGAGGGAAGCCAGAGTGCAAGGAGATAAATTCTGCTTCCTTCCATTTAGCTGCACAATAACCAGCTTCACCTTTAAGAAACAGGACTATTTTTCACTCTCCTCTCTTTGGGGTACCTCCTGTAGACCTAACTCACTTTTTACTCTGTCCTTACTCAAACAAAGCTCCCATTGGCTTCTGTGAGAACTGGGCATGCTCAGCAGCTTTTGGGGAGGGGGAAAAGCAGCCCCCCCCATGTGTGGGTCTCCTTCTTGTCTGTGCTCATCTGCAGCACTATTCCCCACTTCCCTATGGCACCTCCAGGATCCTGGAGGAAGGAGTGGGCAAGCCAGGTGCTCGAAGATGGGGGCAATGAATATTACACCACTCTTTGCACACAGCAGAGATGATGAGGAACAGATAATGCAGCATGAAGCTGTATTATCTTTTTCACTGAGCTCTCTTTGCAGTGGGGATTTCAGAAGGCCCTGACTTCCCACTGATCTCCCCAGGATCCACAGGGCCAAGGGGCATGTCCTGCAGTCTATTCTGCATTCTTCTGTGGGAACAGTGGTGTGGGTGGAATCTCCACATGGGGATCCTCACGGGTTTGCCACCTGTCAGCCCTCTCCAAGGAATTTCATTGCAGAGGAGGCAGTATCCAGCCCAGGATTTTTCCCTTTGTGCTTTAAGTTCTTAGAAATGGCTTAAACTTGACAGTTGTACTTTGCATTCTTACCTTGTTAGGATCTAGTTTGCATTTGTCTACAGGGTTAGAGTCCTTAATCACTTCAACCACATCTTCACCAAATCGCTCGCCGTAAAATCCCTGAAATGGAGAATACTGCATTGAAAGACACCTGTTTCTGTAATCACAGCAAGGGGTTGGAGAGATCAGGCCAAATTCAGCACAGGTGCAACTCCAATTGCCTTCAATGCAAACTGTGCCCGGGCTGAGTTTGATCTGCTGAACTTAGAGAATTAATCAGTTCGGTTCTAGGGGTTACAGCTCTAAATCCTTCCAATCTCATATGCTGACAAGTCATCTGGCCTCCTTGTGAATCTGTCACAAGGCTGAACATTGGGCACAACACAGGATCTTTTTGAAAAGCAGCTGGTGCAATAGGATTGGGATTGGCTGGTTTGAATAAATTAGATGTGGGGTGGGGGAATCTGAATATCCAGATTCTACCCTCAATTACACAATTTTGAATTTGGAGCAGCTCCATTAATTTCAATTGAGTTACATCATCAGGGTAACTGAGATCAGAGTCTGGCCCTATACTTGCCTCCATTTGATCAGGGAAGGTACACCGATAAGTGAAATAAACTTTACAGGCTACATTTTCCAATGATTTTAGGTGCCTCATTTTTTTGGGCACCCAACCTGAAACACCTAAAAGGGGCCTGATTTTTTGGGAGGGAGGTAGGGAAGGGAGACTCATCTCTTTCTGAAAACCCGTTTACATTTGTCTACAAACTGCTCTGATTCAATCTCCAAAAGCATTGCCTGAGGATACGGAAGAAATCCTAACAAGCCAAACTAGTATCTCCTTTATGCAGTCTCACTAAGGGGAAAAAGATAAACACCACCTGGTTTTGGTGGAGCAATGAAACAGAAGGGCTGCACGGGGCAGTCAGGTGAGATCCTGGAATGAAATATTAAGAGAAAGGGGGAAATGTTAATGCAGAAAAAGGACAAATTTTAGAAGGATCGAGAGGAATGACTGCAATAACCGTATTAGCAAGGGCCAGCTGCACTGACAAGGATGAATACACAGTATAATACACCAAGAACATGGAAGTGATGTATCAAGTCTTGGCCTCTAGCTACAGGATTGAATAAGTCAAATTATTATTTCTGAGGGGAAATGCAGGGAGGCCATGCGGGCCCCTCTCAGTAGAGCGTGGAGTCAGTGATTGGAGGGAGATGTGATGGGGGTGTTGCATGCTAGAACCGTTCTTAGCAGCTGAATCACGGAGCAGAGCTCTGGGAGGGATGGGGTAACTTAGAGCAGTTTATGTTATGCAGGAGGCTGTTTTGGTCTCTGGAGCAGCCCAGAATCACGCTCCAAGAGGCACAGCACAAAATCTCACCCACTGCCTTTGCCTAGTCGTTGTTTCAGCCACTACCTACGTTGCATGATAACAATCCAGCTTTTAAGGCTTGAGCAGCTCAATTGTAATTTACAGAGGGAATTTCAGGTCTGACACAACAATCTTACCTCTAGTCTATGGGAAATTTCGGCTAGCTTTGTTATCGCGGGCTCCTTGTACACAAATTCTTGTTCATCCAAGTCTCCAAATTTAGTCCCGTAAAAACCGACCCGGAAGTATGTACCAAACATCCGCTTTCCATCCTACGTTTGGAGAGACAAAAGGCACTTCAGTATAAAGACTCATTCACATATGTTGTAAACTTGAGTGTTTGCAAAAAATTTGCTCCTGACTTTGAACTGCCATTTGCTTTGGGAGGTGGGTGGGTGGAGGGGATAGAGGTACTTGGGCTAATCAACACTGAAATTCAAGTTACAGAAAACACCACACTGAAGATAAACTCAAAAGCTAATACACCTCTACCCCGATATAACATGAATTCTGATATAACGCGGTAAAGCAGTGCTCCGGGGGGGGGGGGGGCCTGCGCACTCTGGCGGATCAAAGCAAGTTCGATATAACATGGTTTCGCCTAAAACGCGGTAAGATTTTTCGGCTCCCGAGGACAGCCTTGTATCGAGGTAGAGGTGTATCAAATCAAAGTTATTGGAGATAATTAATAGTCTGATCCTGCAATGAGTTCCCTCCTGGGAGGACCCCTATTGATTTAGGAGCGCTGCCATCCCTCAGGCAGAACTCACTGCAAGATCCTGAGCTCCACTGAACTCAGTGAAGCTGTGTAGACGTACATCAGCTGATTAGCTGGCCCTAGGTTTAAGGGAAATCAAGCTACAGTCCTTATCCTGCGATTTGTAGTGAACAAGCAAGCAGCCTGCTACATGTCTACACAGCCCCATTAAAGTCTAAGCAGCTCCAAGTCAGAGCCATCTGTTCATGCACAACTAACTGCAGGATCAGGGCCTAAGTCAAGATCCCCTTATACTGTGATTTAAAAATAATCCAAAATTTAAAAGGTGTTTTATTTATTTTTTAAACATTGTATTGACAGAAGCACTTTAATTCTCCTAGGGTAAACTATAGGGCCGAAGTCACTCCGAGTGGAAGCAGTGGCAATTCCATTGGCTTCCAGGCACTTGCTCCCATTTAAGCCAATGGTGAATTTGGCCCACAGAATGTAATAGCCACGACAATTAAAGTGAAACACACAGGTTTTTGTCAGAAAAGTCACATTTTTAAAAAAGTGAGACTGAAAGATCGGAAGAAACATATTTAAAAAAAAAATCACACCACTGATTTTGTTAAGGATCAAAACAACTCATCACGCTGCATGCAGAAACTAGACGTGCTTTTTAGAACATGTTCACCTTTACTCTCCTGGGAAAGTGTGCGGCAGAACAGAATGCATTCTCTCTCTCAATCGGAGTGTTTGGGTGTCAAATGGCACCTCTACATGTCCAGCCCAGAGCGTGGGATTTGTATTCACTATTTTGCGGTGGGGCAATGCCGCAAGGCATTTTGGGGGACATTTGACTACTTTTTAGGTTAGGTGCAGAACAATTTCTGCAGTAAGTTGATCTTTTGTGGTGATGGTGAAAATAGTCTGGACGGCAGGAAGGATACAAAACTGATAAGATAAAAAGAATCTGATCCATGAAAAATGACCAGTCAGAGGAAAGCAGATATCTGACGGGAGTTCTCCTTACTGCCTTTAAATAATAAAATTGTAGGTTAGGTGCATTTCCTTCATTTCAATGACTATATTTCTTTGTAATGAAAATACATAATTGTTTGAGAGCCACATTATCCCCTCTGCCTTGGTGGGTGGAGAGAACAAAAAGCAGGCAATCTAAAAGGGGTGGAAATGCCATTCACACAGCATCACCCCCCACCAGCCCAACCGAACGCCCTTGGGACCTGTGGCTGCTGAGCCCTTCAGTGCAAGGAGCTGCAGCACCTGGAATGCTCCGGTCCCTACGCTCACAGCAGGAAGTGGTTTTATTGGTTCCTTGTGCAGCAGAGGTGCCTTTTCCCTGGACAGGGCAGCCAGCTGGGCTGCCTGCATACCTAGCTCTCTGCGTCTGGTGTACAGCAGAGAGCTCCCAGACAGCAGGAGCTTGGTCTAGGTCCATGTTCCCCTAGGCCACAGGAACAGGAGTTTTCCCTACTCCCCTAGATTACCAGAACAGAGGAGAAAGGAAGAGCTGGAAGATGGCACAGCAGATGTTGAGGTGCCCATGGCTGAAAAAAAAAAAAGCGTCTGGTTTGTTTTTGATGGGTCACACGCTGGCCTTGTTACAGGGAAGTTAATAGAGAAAAACATTCAGGCCCCACTTCAGCAAAGGACAGGGTGTAACTTTAAGCCATTGAGGAATCACACTGGGCCCGGCTTCACACATGGGCTTAAATGCTCCGCTGGATTATTGTATTTTAATCAAAGTATTGGATGCTACATTTGGGGACTATCGACCATGACTGCCTCCATATCTCTCAGCTACCCCTTATTTCAGACCCATACCTCCTCCCATCCCACTCAGTCTTGGTGTCCTTTACTCTAAACTTATCAGACTGACTCATGAAACCCAGGCAATGGACAATGTTATCTATGCTAAAGAAAATGCCTCCTCGTTTCCAGCTCACCGTGCTATTTGTTTTCTTCTTTCCATCCTCTGAATAGCAATGCTTGCAGTACATAGCACCTTTCACCAGAGGATCTCAAAGCGCTTGACAACAAATTATTATTTCCATTATGCAGCTGGGGAACTGAAACACAGAGCTAGTCAGTGTCTCCCCCAATGTTACGCGGAGCCTGATCCTGTACTACCTACACGTCAATGGGAATTTTGCCATTGACTGATGAGCACAGGATCAGGCCCACAGCGAGTATGGAACACCCTTCAGGTCTCATAATTCCTAGTGCTCTTCCCTATTCACTAGACCATGCTGCTTTCCTTTTTGGGTCTTTGTCCCATGCTACAGGCCTGATCCTGCTCTCATGGAAATAAGTGGGATTTTTGCTATGGATTTGCACTGGTAGGATTGGGTCATGTATCTCTTCTATTTGGGCCTAGGCAGGTTGAGAGGCAAGTCCTGCATCCTTTAGCCTTAAAGGTACAAAGCAATAGTCCAAACATGTTTTTAAAAGTGCCTACAAGTTTGCACCGATGGCAATACTACTGAGCACCTCCTGAAAGTCGCTGGGCACCCAGTGTAACAAACTGAGCTCAGTGGGAGTGGAGGGCACTTCCCACCTTCCAAGAAGTGCTCAGTACTGTGCAAGATTGGTCCCTGTGGTTCTGATCGTCTCAGATGCTGAGCACTTCCGATGAGGTGCACAGAGCCCTTTGCTCCAACTGCACTCAGTTCCCCACAAATTCATCTCGAAAACTAGCCAGATTCAGTGTCAGAATGAATGGGTTTGGGCCTGATACAAAGGGATATTGGCTTCACCAGTGTGATATATTATTTAAAAAAACATATACTACTACCAAAGCAATGGTTGCTTACCATAAAATGTGAAAGTCTTTTCAGGATGCATTTCTATGCACCCAACTCACAACAGGAAAAAATCAAAACCCACAGATTTTTCAAAATCCAAGGCTCAACCACCTGCATGCTATTCCCTCTGAGAGGCTGTCCCAATAGGAAAGGAGACAAAAATAGCTTTAAGCCGCTTCTGTGATCTCCTGATCTTGGGGCTGTACAGTCCCTGGCACAAGTTGGAGCAGCCTTCAGGCTGCTCTATTGTGTGTAAATTCCCAACAGCCTCCTGGATCATAGCAAGGGATCAGACGGATCTAGGGGTATCCTGGCCATACCCCTATTCCCCAAACCATGCCGCTTCCCTATACCAACCAAGGATTCCCCTAAGATAGAGGGAATTCTCACATGGCCAGCTTTTCCTGCTTTAGGTTCTTGGAGTGGAGCAAATAAGCCTTAATCTCGGGGGGGGAAATGGTGGCTAATGATTTCAATGGCATGAAGCACTATGCCAGGTAATAAGTGCTTGCAGGATCGGGCCCTTAGATTGTAAATTCTTGGGGCATGGACATTGTCATAGATACTTTGTTAAGCACTAGGCACATTTATGTTGCTATGCAAATATCCACAAGTAGGAAAAGAAAACGTTGGCTGTTCATCATTGCAAAATACTGAGGTTTTATTGGGGAAATTTACTAAACCCACATAAAACCAGCATGATCAGGTTGTGTGTGCACATGTCCAGGTACATACATATGTACAGGGCAGTGACGGCAAAGGCAAAATCCATCTCCCCAATCTGAAGCCAGGGTGGGGGCTTACTACAGCCTCACACCGCATGCCAACATCCTTCATCATCATAAAGTCCATTTACAGTGGCTTTTTGTGACAATGAACAGTATTTTAAGCCAGAAACCAAGTTACTTAAGCTGAATCTCTGACTCCTGAAAATGGTGCAAGCGAGACGATATGAACAGCAGGTACGATCCCTGCCTCGTCGGTATGGCTGGCAGCGCTGGTTAGAGCATTAGCCTTTCACCTCTGGAGTCCTGGGTTGCAGCTCCCTATTAGTCCAAATCAAAAAACTGCCTTGCGACATGGCGCATTCCAGCCCAAGCGGCATCTGTGTTAAAGACACAGGACCTGAACAGCAGGGATGTTACAGGTCAGAACTGAGGCGCATGGGCGGAGCTTTCATGGCACCCTGCTGCAGTATGTGAGATTTTCACTCCTGGGCTTCAGGGGCTTTGGTTTACACAAGCCACTCTGCTGCACTGGGGGATTGTGTTCCAACAAAGACAGTCCCATAGTTCAATAGCGTGCTTCAAAAAGGAGTGAGCCTGTGTCAGTGTGGGCCCTAAGCAGGAATATCCCTCCCCCCAACACATACTAATAATTAAGAGGGGGGGCCCCTTGAGCTGCTCGGGGACCTAAGCAATTGCTTGGTCTGCTTATGCTTAGTGCCGGCTCTGGATTGCGCCCATCTACACAGGCAAAACAATCATTTTCAGACACTAGTTTGTGCTAAAAAGATCCTCTGGTGGGGGTGGTCTGCCTATGTGGACATACTGTTTTTCTCCCTTCCATAAGCGCCCACTTCAGGCACAAGCTACATCATTAAAATGTCTTAAAATGAGTGAGCGTTTCAGTAACATTTAGCCCTTGGAAAGCTGGGGCAGGATTTCTTTAAGGTTAAATAACACGGTAGGAGTGGCACAAGCTCTGTATCCATGTACGTGAACCCTGTAGCCGAGCTGCCCAACATGCTAAAGCAACAACTTCATCCTCCTTTAGCACCATAAAAAAGCATGTTTCCCTGATAAAAAACAATGAAACATCTCCTGAAAGCCTCCTTTCGTCTCCTGTCCTCTCAGCTTTAACCGTTTGTGATCTCCAATGTGCTGCCGTATGTTGCATGCACTTTAAAGCCATTTTTAGTGTTGGGAGGTCAGCCTTGCTAAGTGGGCACAAGATCACTGACAAACAAAGGAAACAGAGCAAAGGAGAAGGAAACATTTTAATGTGTATTTGGGTTTTCAAAGGCGCATAAGGAAGTTAGGTGCCCAAATCTCACTGAATTTCAGCCTTAATGTCTGTGTCCCTGTTCTCATCAATGAAATGCACGGCTGCCAAGCTTTGTGCAGTTCTGTGTATGACATGACATGCAAATTATTTGAAAATATGCAAATCAGTTCATTAAATGTGCATATTTGCAAATACCTTGTATATGATTATAAAACTTTGGCTTATGGTCAATACACGTCTACCCCAAGCACTGTTGGGGTGCTGACAGGTGTCTGGGGAATAGGTGGGTGCTATCTAGGTGGAGGTGGCTGGGAGAAGCTTTGGGGTAGTTAAGGGAAGCTGGGTTTGGTGGGAAGGCTGAATAGCTTGAGGTAGAAGCTGGGGGCAGCTATGTTTGTGGGGTGGCTTTTGAGGGAGGGACATTGTGGAAAGATGAGGGCAGCTGGCTGGCGTAGAAGTTGGAATCTGCCAGGGGTGGGCTGGTTAGTTGCCAGGTTTGGGGGAGATCTGGGACCAGTACTTAGTCCTCTTCCCCTCAGTGCCACTTGCTACTTCCTACCACCATCTCCGCCGCCTGGATGCTCTTTCCCTGCTCAGATCCAGTAGGAGGTGCAGCGACAGGGAGCCGGCTTGGCTGCCAGCTGACTAAGAACACTCATGAACAACTAATTACCCCCAGTGCAGCCACAAGTGAGTATCTGCATGTGCAAACCGACAGCTGGGTGCACACACACACCCATCTGTATGGGCAAATGCTTAGGTGCTATTTTTATCCTTCACATATTTTTAGTAACAGTGAACCTCCTGGAATTGGGAAAAGCCCAGTTTCCAGCCTGGCTGGGAAATACCTCAGGGCTTTTGCTTGTGTTAAGCCAGTGTTTGCTCAAGTTACTAGGACTAGGAGCCAAGTGAGCCAGTCAGGCAAGGGTTGATTGAGGAGTCAGAGGTAGTTACATGCAAATTTGGGATTAATCAATTCAAATCATTCTAGCCTTTGCTTAATGGCGTTAAAGAAACAGGTCAGCCACCTAGGACAAAGTAGGAAACTGGACACAAATGGGAGGTAGTTGTTCTTTGAATTCTACTCTCTAGTGTGAGCAAGGTGGCTCTCCAAAGGTGTTTGTTGACTGGGCAAGACTGAAGGACAACATCCGTCTAGGGCCTACTCAAATGTACCTCAGTAGCACCAGAAGTGAAACAAAGAATTGAATTCCACGGCTAGTCTGCTGGCAATGGGCTAGATCAGCATTTCTCAAACTGGGGTCCGCGGACCAACTCCTCCTTCTTCCTCCCTCAACTCCTCCCCTTCTCTCTCAGCGCCTCCTGCACGCTGGGGAACAGCTGTTCAGCGGCATGCCGGAGGCGCTGGCAAGGAGCGGGGACGGGGCGCACTCGGGGGAAGGGACCAAAAGAAGTGGGGAAGAGGAGGGGCAGGGGTGGAGTGGTGACAGGAATAGGTGGGGTGGGGTGGGGTCTGGGGCTGAGCGGGGCACTAGGGGGTCTGTGAAAAATTTTAAATCAAAATGGGGGTCCTTGGGTTGCTAAAGTTTGAGAACTGCTGGGCTAGATGATAACATAACATAATTTAAGGGTCTTGTGTAATGAGCATGTAATGACTCTAATTTTGCCAGGATTTTCCCATAGAAATTAATCAATTCCAAGGGCCCTGTACACATAGAACTGAAAACAAAACAAGTAATTTAAAAATATTACATTGTTTCTGAAGAGAGCTAAAAATGCAATTATGAGGGAGAAATTATTAACAAAGCATTTTCTCGCCTATTATTTCAAGAAAAATAATAGGTCTTTGGGAGGAGACGAGAATGAAGGTGAACACTGAGTAGCCATTACAGAACCGGCAGAGCAGATAACAGCCACCATGATTTATGAAGGGTTCATGATTGTTATTATGCATGGTAAATACCTTTCAAAATCACTGGAAATAAAGGTTTAAAGTTATCTCTTGCACACACACCAAAAGCTTTGCCAACTAGATTTACCTTATCAAAGGGCTGAGAAATTAGACACAGCGGGGGCCATCTATTGACAACAGGGTAGCCTGGGTATAAATGCAGGCAGAACTGGCCCAAAATAGGTATGAGCAAAAATAACTCCTTCATACATGTTAGAGAGGGAGTTGATAACCCCAAATCTCTCTGTTATGGTGCTTTACATTTTCGTGCTGATTTTAATCCAACGTACAAAGTCTTTAGACAGTTTTGCCAACTCTTAAAGTTCTTTCAGTGTTTGGTGGTTTTAAGAAAACCACCAAAGCACCAACTCTTGGAGTCTTGTGATTCGGTAAGCATCTCCACTGGCTTTGTTTTTAAACCCACATGGTTGCAGTGAAAAGCATGAACAGGTGAATCGTAACAGCTCAAAAACCAGAAGGTAAATAAAAATATTAAAAAACTCATGATTTTTAAGCAACATCTCGTGAATGTTTTGAGACCTGACTCCTGAACACTTGAGTTGGCAATACTGCTTTACCTGGATCTTTTAGCTGGCATTGCTCTTTGGTAAAATGAAATTATTGAGGTCTCCACAGAGTAAAAAAAAAAAAAGAAAAAATACCACAAAGTAGGAACTTACCACAACAGACAATAGTAAAAGTGGGGAGTAGGGTCAGCAACCAGGGCGATAGAGGAGAAAACAGAAAGTATTTTAATTAGGGAAATTCCAAAAAACAAATAAGCAGCAATTGGCAGCAAATAAATAAATTAAAAAAAAAAAGAGGTGCGCATCAATTAAAATATTTTAAAAAATAAGGAAAAAGAAAAACATGCAACAAACGTGAAGGCTACGAAGCAAAAAGCTCAGCAAAAGGTGGCAACGAAAGTGCACAGCAGTAGACGAGAACATAAACCATGGGTGTGTTTTACCATGCAATAAAACAAGACTGAATGATGTTAAAATCATAACCAATGACAAGGGGATACTTCAGGGGTCGATTTAGCATCATGAAGATTGATCAAAATAGATGCTCACAGGCTTTCATTACTTATTGGATATTGAGCACACATAACTTACATTCTATGATACAAACATTGGATTGCTGGGTCACCTCATCTGCTAGGACTTGTCACAGTAAAAAGCAAGCGATTTACAAGGCAAGTTCTTTACATCAGAAATTACAAGTAAATTATTGAACTTTAATTCTTGACAAGTCAAGTTTATACATCTCTGGCCAAAACTCTAGGTGTAATAGAGAATATGTAGGACCTCTTATGTAGGCTCCAACTCAGAAATGCGTGTGCTTACGTGCTTTCCTGAATTGGGGTCTTAAAGTACTGAACGATCTTGATAGTAAGAGTGGACCAGATTGAGTTGCTTGATTTAAAGTAAAGCAGAAGCAAATATCAGTGCTTGAAAAGCTCTTTTGGGAACTGAGGAAAATAATCTAGGAGTGTATTTACAAAATGTTAAAAAAAATCTTCTTAGACCATCAAAGTTGATGTATAAGAGCAAAAATGCAAACACAAGCAACTGACCTATGAACTGATTCATCAAAATCACAGTGAACTGGTCTGTGTGAGAGATCTAGTGGACACCGTTTATTTTTAATCCAAATGAGAGTCTCTCGTGGTGGATATTGTAGAAATGCAAGCAGAGGGCCTCTGCTAAAACTAAAGCAGCAGAACAAAATCTCTGGTGTTAAAAGAATTGAGCTATTTTATTCCCACCCAAAAATCTGCATTAAAAAAAAGTATTCAGCATTTGTTAATTACCAAGATTAAGTGGCTCTAGTATGAGCGAATGTCTGCTTAACCATTACAGGTTTCACTTTTGACACCTTTGAGCATAAGCACTTAAATCGACCCCTGTGGGTGGGGTGAAAATATGGTATGAAGAGATGATATTCTGTGACAATGCTGATGAGAAGAATTATAAACAAAATATAAAAACAAACTAGTGATGATACAGTGGCTCATTCACCAAAGAACCTCATTAGTGGAACACATTGGCATCCATGCACTACCTACAGCTTCTTAGAAAGAGTTTCCTACAACTACCACAATCGTTTTATTGATATTTCTTTGGTTAATGAATTCAGTTTAAACAGCAGACAGCAACAGAAATACCCACAACTAGCACATGTGGGCAAAGCATTGGCATGAGTCATCTGATCAATTAGTGTTCTTTACTAACTAAAATATTACCTACCTCCCAGCCAGTACTCTGTATAATAAAAAGTAAAAAGGGCATGTCACAGCAACAAAAAAAAAGATGTTTCAAAGGTCAAAACATGACCACTAATGTAAGGTATTATTAATCTGAAATGGTCTCATTGATTATAAGTTACCAGGCACTTACAGTGGCCTATTGTTTCCTTTGGCTGAGAAGGACATTACATGATTGATTAGAGAGAGATCAACCACTTTTTTGTCCTTTATTATTCTGTTTATCATGTCTGGTTAATATCAGGAATTCTGGCACAGCCATGCCGCAAGTTATGTGGAGATAGCAGGGCCGGATCCTCAGCGGGTGTAAATCAGGACAGTCGGTGGAGCTATGCAGATATCCATCCACTGAAGAGATGGCCCAGCTTATACTTTTATATAAGTGTAATTAAACGAATGGTCACACATCATACCAGGCTATGTGAGGGCTGCATACTAAACCATCGTATTGATATTTGTTTTAGAATTGGCTGCTGAGTTCTTATGCTCCCTCACAGAAAAGGACAAGTGCTGTGAGCCAATCCTGTAAGGTAACAAGCACCTCCATCTCGCATTGAGCTGAGGTCCACTGAGCTCAGTGGGAGTTGAGGCCTTTCAGCATCTTCCAAGAAGTGCTCAGCACCTCACAGGATGGGTCCCACATGGCTGCTCTGACCCTGCAAGATGCTGAGTGTCTCCTATGTGGTGCCTTCAAATCCCACTGAGCATAGGCCTCAGTTCAGGAAATCTTCCCAGTTCAGGACAACTTTTAAGCACATGATTAAAAAGTTAAGCATGTGTTTACATGGGGGCCACAGTTTTTACAATGAGCCCACTCGGAAGTGAGCTCAGTGATTAGCAGCCTATGGCCTGATTTTACATCACTGCCTTCAGTCGGAGCAGGATTGGCTATAAGGTAGCTAATAGTGCACGGAAAAGAGCAGATTGTATTTAGCTGAGACTATTGCTTTGCTAATAACACAGCCCAGCTACCTCCTTCCTAAGTGTTTGCTTTTTCAATGACATGGATAATGTTGTCTGACTTTTAGTTATACTGGTGGATACAATTTTAAGGATTTTCTTTTAAATAATAGGTGTATTCAGAATGAAATATAATTTCAGAGGCAGGGAAACAAGGATATTTTGATTTGCTTTTACATTTTTGTTTAACGAAAAAAAGATTTTGGTGACGTTCAAAATAGCTCAAGAAGTCTATGAAGAGCTAAATAAAACCCAAACATTTCTTAATGTTATTTAGCAAGCTAAATGTAACAAACCTTTTTTCCTAGCATGCAAACGTAGTTTAAAATAACACCTGAAATTATACATCTATAAACTAGTAAGCACAATGCAACTGACAGATTTCTTATTAACTCCTCATCATTTTTGTTATTTACACGAAAAGTTTGTATGTGCAGACTTGACATCCTTGTATGATTATACAGGTCCCGAGAGTCAATGCTCATTAGCGATCCTTGCATTTACTGTGGACCATCATTTTGATGTTATTCGTATAATCTGATTGAAATGGCTCTCCTTGATAGTTAGCTTTTGGTGGAAAACAACACTAAAACATTTCAAATATCTTCACAGTTCATACTGCAGCTGGAGATTAAAATCATTACCTGATGAACAATTTTGCTGAATGCTTCTTGGAGTTTACCATGAATTGTGGACAGTTTCTTGGCATCTCTGTTAGCTTCATGAATAGGAATAAGGACTTTGTAAACCTCGTTAACTGCTTCATACATGCCAGCCTACAAAAATAATACGTATCAGATGGATCTTTCTATCAATTCAACAGGAAAAGAAAAGAAATACACCTGGTATATAATACATGCTCACAGTACTTCAGTAACTAAGATTACAACATTGAAGTGGTTGTTTATATGCTTACATTTATTGTAATTTAATCAGGAATTTTTTTTAGAAGAGGTATCAAATCCTCAGTAATTCATAGAACCAAAAGCACATATAGTAACACATTTCTATTTATTTTTAATAAACTTATTATTAGTGAAGAGGGGAGAGGCTGAACCAAATATTAAACAAGTCAATGGGAATAGTATCTACGTCTGAGTGCACAGTATGGCCCATTAGGTTTAGTGTGACTTGGGTCTATGTAACTTGTATCCTGCATTCTCAAACTCCATGAAATGGGACTTTGAAGTGTCTCCCTGAAGCGTGTCTGCCAAGTAGCACCATTTGCCCTCTCACCCATGGTGATCTGACTAGGGTTCCACCCGTCACAGATGGATTTAGAAGGATCTGCAGAGGCACTATGCCTCCCTACTCCCTCATGGCTTTGCCAGTCCATTGCAGGAAATGTGCTGCTAGGCTCTGTCTGTTGCCACAGGGAATTCCAAATCATGTTGTGGTAAATAATTACCTTGTCCTTAAAAGCCTTTCTCTGATGGGTACTTTGCTACCATTCCGTTACCATCCCAACCTCTGCCCATTCCTAGCACCAGCCTGAACTACCCACAGATCACAAACCCTGCCTAGCAATCCCTGGAGGGACATCTGTGGTATGAGGACAGGGAGGCCACAAAGATACCACTCACCAGCTGTGTGCGCCAGTCCCCTCTACTTACAGGGGTGGAAGGAACTACGTGGTCTTTAACTAATAATGTAGAGATAATATTTGTCTTTTACTAATGGTGAATTAGAACTAGAATTAGAACTTCCCAACTAACTAAAACACAATTACCTGAAATGCTGAAATGGAAACAAACCCACAAAACCCACTCAGTGATAGGCTATGGTTGATTACAGGGGCTAACTGAGCTGCCCAGGAGAAAAAATGCTACCAACGCCATAAAAATAAACCAAGTAATCTGGGAGAATTGTACAGTTTCATTTACAAAACATTTTCCTGAATATTGCCCAGCACTATGAGCGTTGCTGAAGTAGATATATAGAGAGATTAAAATCTTCTACCATGGAGAAAGATGCTGCAGCCTGTTCCAGCAATCCCACCAGACCTGCTTCTGTAAAATACTTCCCAGAACAGATACCTTCTTCATCTGGTGAGACAACATCATCAGAAACTGCGGATTCTTCCAAAACATTTGAAGATATGTTCTAAGGAGACACAATTTAGATAGAGTTGAAAAGTTTTATTTAAGCAACTACATTGAATACTCCAAAAGATACAGTTAATGTGATACTGGGACAAAGAGCTTTATTCAGTTTTTACTCAGGCAACATCCTCTTTGAAAGAGGCAAATTTCAAGTACTTTTCATTTCACCACAGGCCCTGATCCAGCAGAGCACTTACACATATGCTTAACTTTAAGCCAGTGGGACTACTCACATGCTCAAAACTAAGCATGACCTTACATGCTTTCCTGGATTGAAGCCTGATTCTCTTTGTCACAACCTAATCACAAGAACAGTTTTCAACAACTGTTTCAGAAAAGTTATATCCTGTCTGGAACAGCAAAATCGTATTAGATGAAGCTGTTTTCAGGACTGCTTCTTGAAAATGCTTCTTAACACTGCCAACTTTGATTTGTACTTAGGACTTTTATTATTGTTTCGTATCTCAGTATTAGATGGTAGAAAACCAAAATGTACAATTTGGGGAGGACGGAAGCACATTCCTACCTGAAATGTTACACACCCTACTGGAAGGTATTTTCGATCCTCAAGCATGCTTAAATATTCAGCCACAAGGGCTGCCGAGTGGACCAAACACTGGGCAGATTCAGCATGATTGCTCCTTTCAGAATGCTTTCCAGCCATGTTTTGTAACCAGGTCAGTCGCAGATCTGGGGAAGTCTGATAGCCCTTCGCAATTCTAGTTGAAAATAAATGTCTCGCAATTAGTGTTTATTTACTTATATGTATATTTTACAAGTACCTATCCATAGTTCTAGGCTTGAGATGAACAGCTATGAACTAGAGTCATATACAAAATAATTGCCTGGATTTCCAAGCTAGGAAACTCTTGGTGTTGTTATCATTTAACATTTGTATTGCAGTAGCATCTAGAGGCTAACCAAGTTGGGGCCCCCATTGTGCTAGGCACTGTACAAACACTGGTGTAAATATATGCTATAGCAGCAGCATAGGAAGAAACAGGGTGGTGGTTAAATAGAAGACCTCATTTTAAAAACACTTTGACAGTGAATGTAATGTTCTTGGAACATAATAGCAAAGGGCTTGATCCTGGGAGGTGCTGAGAACTCTAGCTCTGATCCAGCAAAGTGCTTAAGTACGGAGTAGTCCCACTGGCTTCAAAGTTAAGCATGAGCTTCCGTGTTTTGCTAGATCAAGGCCACAACACACAGCCTCTCGCAGGATTAAGCCCTACTGGCTTTGGGCTGGACAGGGCATAGTGTGGGCGGACACTGTGTGAGCTTCCCCCCTCTTCTCTGCCAATGCACTTGGAGCATAACCTGAAATATCCAGACTGATTCCGTCTGGGGCTCCTCCTGAGCAGACACTGCCCAATGGGTTGAACAGTGCTAATTTCTGTGGTGGTTTGTGGGGTGGAAATTGGGATCAGACCCCCAAGTTCACCACTTGTCACCTGATCCAAGATGTGCCTTCCGTGCACCAACCTGCTACAGTGCACCAGGGGAAAAGGCGCCCTTATCCAGCTCTCTTAACAGCGATCACACTCCCAAAATCTAAGACATTTGGGCCATGTCTCACTGCAGGCTGATCAGACTCGTTCACCAGGCTCCAGGACCTGGCCTGATAGTTTCAAAACAGACTAATAGCAGCCATTTTAGCTGCTTCTTTCTGTCCTGCTTATCACTCCTTTCCTTTTGCCTATTGTTAGCTATGGGCCTGCACCTGGTCCCTCTGCATACATTAGTTGTCTTTTACTTCTGTGGAGCTAGACTGGGTCCTGTATCCCAGACGCCTTGCACTAGTACACGGATCAGAATCTGGAATGGAAAATGTTACCCGACGTTTTTCCTTCCAGGACCGATCTCTCTCCCAGTCTGCCCCACCCATGAGACGTTCTTCAGATATTTCACTGCTGAGGAAGGCTGCATTGCTAATAGCTTTTTATAAGAATTCGGTGTTTCAATGCTATTTTGGAAGCACTAATCTTGAGCATGGGAGGAAAAGGTTTGGTCAAATTCTGAGGCCTGTGGGTGAGTCTCAATGGCCTCCTGTATTTGCAGGAAAAGTGGTGCCACTGAAATATCTCAAACTGGAGGAGAGGTGAGCACCATTTGACCTCTGCATTTAGTGATATTGGCATGCTCAGCACCATGGGGATCATGGTAACACAAGGAAAGCCGTTTTAAATGTAAAAAAGGTGATTGCTACTTTAAAAAAAAATCACTATGACAGGGTATTTCAAGTTCTAAAGATGGGAAATACAGCAGGGGCTGTGATACATTCAAATACCACAGCTGATTGTTCAATGGCATCCACTGGACGACGTCTGCAATAGGCGTGTAAACTCTACCTGTACATCAAGTCTATCAGCATTTCTGGATCTTCCTGGTGTTCCTTCATTTTAACCGTATCAGAGAGGATCATATGGAGGTTGAACACAAGATCCTGGACCTGGAATACAGAAGCCGATGTAATGAATTGCCCTCAGGAACCTCACTATACACTAACACATTAGGGCCGCTGCCTACTCTGAATCTTTGTGCATTTGCTCCTTGTTATCAGTGGGAGCTAATCAAGGGCTTGAGTTTTATAGAGCAGCTCATGGATCCCTCTCCAGGAAATGTATCCGACAGCCCTGCTATACGTGGCTTCATCTAAAATCAGTCTGTTTTAAAAACCCAGAATGAGACACGCCCAAAGGCTTCATGAAAATCCAGCCCCTCTTTCCAGCTAAACGTAACTCTTGGCCCGGTGGTATTTCTCTAACCTGATCTGGGAATGTCGTCTCCCGGAGTTCCAGATCTTCTTCAGCGTACGTCAAAATAGTCTTCAGAGAACGTCTCAAAAATTCCTCATTGAAATTCTGGGACGTTCCCACCAGGGACGAGAGGGACATGGTCACCTGCATTTTCACTCTGGCAAAGTTCTGCAACAGAAAAGTTACTACAATGCAATGATTCCATAGGAATCGTAACTGTTCACTGCAACGCCGGCGCAGTGGCGTTTGCATCCTTCCACCAGCCATGGACACGGGATAAAAACCAAACATTTAGTAACACCTTCCCTTTCTTAAGGGTGCTGGCCAGCTGAGCAGCCTCAGTTCTTTCCCTGCCTCTGAACAATGCATTTGTTTGGTGTCTCGGTCACTTTGTTTGTTGTGTGTCTTTAGCTGGCCTATGGCAGGGGTACTTCGCGCCAGACCAGTGTTCTCCAGAGAAGAGCTGTTAGATTTCCCTGCCTCTTCTTGCTCCTCTCTTGAGCATGGTGTATGAAATGACCTGTTGGCCCCTGTGCGTCCCAGGCCCTTTAAAGGAAAAGATTACCCCGTGTGTGCATGACCTTCTATTTCAGGTACCCCATTCTGTGTTGTTTCAGCCCACAGGCCAAATCCTCAGCAAGAGGGTACAGAGAGGCATTGTAGTTTCAGTTGACAGAGTCCTGTGATAGCAACTAAGTGAGCTTCAGTTCCCTTCCCCTTTTTGCTCTCAATTTGAGAGCATCTGAGCCCAGAAGGCTGTGCACGCTTCAGTCTCTGCTGTTCACAAACAGCAAAGATTTTACCACAAGATGAAAGAAGATCTAATCTCAGCTGCAGTAACTCTGTGATGAAACACAAGGTGTTTGGGGTGTGCTTTGTAAGATTGCAGCAGTGGCGCTGTTAAAACATTTAATAGTAAAGTGAACATTGGGAGCTCTCTTTGTAATGTAAAGTGCATATGGGGAGAATCAGGCTGAGATCCAATTAGATTCATACAGAAAACAAAACCAACAGCACCTAATTAGTCTGGATTCATGCAGACCTTTCACAGAGGACACACTTAAGCCTTGTGATGGGACAGCCGAGGGGGCAGGTTGTGGCGGTCTCTTACAGGGGTGTGCAAGGCGGGCAGAGGGCAGTTCCTGCAGTGGCCTCAGGGGTGCATGCTGCCCCGGTAAAGGGTACAGGGGCGTAAGGAGCCGGCAGGGCTGCAGAGGAGAATCCTGGCTGTGCTCTCCTAGGAGGTAGTGCAGTGGTGGCATTTCCCAGGACTGTTGTGTGTCACTGTGCGCTCCTGGCCTAATGTGGCCCCACACCATCTCCCGCAAAGGGCCTGCGCCTAACAGCCCGACCTGGCCCTACAAAAACAGTGAGTAGTAAACAACAAGTCGTTCAGTTTGAGAAAAATTCTACATTTCAGTGGAGGTCCTCGTCCGTTTTTTTTAATAAGTCCATATAAAATGACAGAAGAGGCAGCCCGGTCTAGGGGTCAGGGCATCACACTAGAATGCAGGAGGCTGGGGTTCTAATCTCTGCTCTGCCGCTGACCTGACGTGTGACACACAGCAAAGTCACTTCACTGCTTGGTGCCTTTGTTTCCCCCTCCTATTCTTTGCATGTCTTGCCTATTTAGACTGTAAGTTCTTTGGTGCAGAGACTGTCTCTCACCAGTACAGCGCCCCACATCATGGGTCCCTGATTGCCAATGGGGCTTCTAGGTACTACCGGAATATACGCAAACACCAAATGTTAGCAGCAGCCATATACTCACATTTCCAATCTCGAAGTTCTGCCTCATAAGGAGGTAAAGAGAGGCACTCGCATGGGACCGTATGGTACTAATGCTGCTGCTGCAGTGTCGCAGAAGCCTCAGGCAGAGATCAGCACACTGCTCGGTCTCTTCTTCGAACAGCAGCTCAGGGAACTGTAGTGACAGCACATGAGAAAAGTAATTCTGCTGGGGCTGCCAGCATCAACTACTGGACCAAGTTCCGAGGTGAATCTAAGGATTCATCTACGCGGACAATTAAACCGCGGCAAGCTGGGGTGTGAATCTACCGTGCACTAGTCTGCGGCGGTCTGTCTGTGTGCGTTAGCAGTTCATTAGAGTGCTCTGGGCTAGTCCTGTTACAAAGAGGACTAGATCAAAGCACTCAAATGAACTGTTAACATGTGTCAGTCGGATGCACATGGACAGACAGACCACAACTGGCTAGCGGGAGGTTATATTCACACCCCGGCTTGCTGCAGTCTAACTGTTCACGGAGACAAGCCCTAAGTAACATTACAAGGAGTTTATATCGGTGTAAATTACATTTTCTTCCAGTTCTCTCAGTTTCTACGTTAAGCCAGCTTAGACTCCTAGCCTTTCTTACTCAAACGTCATTAGACTCATGGATCAAACTCCAAGGTCCGAGGGTCAAATTCTGTACACTAGGTTGGACTCCATTAAGATATTAACGTCTACATTACCCATGTCAAGAGGGCGTAAATTACATGATGAGGAGCTGGAAGAAGGAGAAGAAAGGTGACGTTACATTAGGATAGAGGGTCCTTGGTGTGCATTACAGCAACATGGGCTCCTTAGGCACTGGTAGGGTGGGGGTAAGTAGCTCTAATAGGTCTCAATGAGTAAGAGAGGCTCTAACTTGCCCATCAGCTCAGTGTGTGTAGAAAAGATGTGATATCATTTTAACAAGCAGCCCAGCAAAACAAATTCATTTTGTCCACAGTAGTCAGACTTGAAGAACAAACAGCCTCCTTTCATTCATCAAACCACACAGCGTAAACACTAACGTTAGGAAGTACAAAATTACAGCCTTGCAGTGACGTGACCCAAATACTGAAGAGAAAACCCCACTACATGTGACAGCCCCCCTGCAGGACACTCACCTTTGAAACCAGAGCTCTCTGCGTGGCGAAGCAGTGTTGCAGATAAAGTGCACTTTGATTACAGGCCATGCTGTGGAGAAGAACTTTCAGCACCCCACCGAGAATGCTCTCTTTGGATTCCGTCACAGACACCGTCTGTTGTCAAAATTAAATCAACAGTCACATGAACAAAGTTAACCCTTCGGCCGATCAGGTGGTGCTACTGTCCCGAATAATCTTCACTGACCTATTACAAATGTGTGAACCTCACAAGTTTCTGAGCCAAATCCTCAACAGGTGGAAATCAGGCGTCTTACTGAAGCCGATTTACACCTTCTGAGGATCTGGCCCTTGAAGCATTATGTATGCGCTAAGCTCTATTACAAGTACTGTTTTAGAAACACACTTTGGCTGGCTCTTGAGTGGGTTTGGAAGGTGGAAGATGTGCCCCGCACAACAGCCAGCCACAACTGGATTCTCTGTGTGAAATTCTGGCTCCACTGAAGTCGACAGAGGATTTGCCATGGACTTCACTGGGGCCAGGATTGCTCCCTGCTAACACTTAAACAACCTGACAGACAAAGAGCAACAGGGACATAGTTGCAGAGAGGAGCTCACTGCACCTCCTTATGGGATAGTTCCAGTGGCACCGTCCCCATGTGCCTCTGGGAAGCACAATGCCTCCTGCAGAGCCCTGGGGCAGAATGCAAACCTGGGAAGGAACTAGCAGGAATTTGTCAGAGGAGGGCAGGACCATGGAATTATGACATTCTGCCAGGCATTATTTATACCTTGAAACACGCAAGCAAATATTTCCGGCATTACACTAATGAGAGCGACAAGCACCTTTACAGAAGGTTGGAGGAATGCTTGTGATTTATGAAACAGACTGTTATAAGGCTCGAGGAAAAAAATCACTGGGATTTTTTATCTATTCTAGGATCTCACCTCCTGGATCCCCCTTTCTGCTGCAGCAGCAAAGTTTAAATACAAACAGCAGGAGGGCATAGTTTAAGAATCTGAACCACTTAACCTGCTAGCAAATGTTATTCGGACATCTGCAAAATCCCCCTCGTCCTTACCTGGACAACTATTTCTAATGTATCCAAAATAATCAGATTTGCTTCAGTTGCAAGATTTCCATCAATAAGCGCTTCATGTTCTATCTCTGCCCTTGATCTAACAGAAGAAAAGACAGCATTCAAGTTATAGTTAGCTTAAAATTCAGGCCGGCATATTCTGAAGGCTCACCAGTGGGAAAACCTTGTTATAAATGCACACAGTTAGTTACGGACAACACCACAAGACTATCTAAATGCACTAATATATGAAAGAGTACAGAGGGAGGGAGAATGTTTTTTTTAAATTAATGTATAAAAAATTCAATGTGATTTAGGTTTATCACCCTCAGGCTAGGTCATGATAATTTCTTTTCCTTTCATTACTCTAGCAGTAACCCTCTAATAACAGCGTAAGCATCAAAGTCCTACTTCAAGGGTGGTTTAATAGCATTGTAAGGCATGCAACAAAAGAAATAAAACACCTTTTATTTTAAGTTACATGATACGAACACAAGATGGTGCTCTATGAGCTAGTATTTTTGCACTGTCTGCACTAGTTTGCAACCTAGTAGCTAGGTTGGGTCCAGTATATTGTATGTAGTATGTATATCTGGTATTTATTCTTTTGCCTCTACATTATATTAAAAGTTTTTAAATATCAGCTTTCCAGAGAAAATCATATGATTGTGCTATTAAATACAATGCACCTGCTTTCCTGGAAAAGCTGACTGTGGCCCCAGTCCTACTCTCACTGGTAGTCCCATGTCTTCAGTGGCACTATTTAACTTCAATAAAATTAGCTGGATTTGGCAAATATCCACTAGTAATTTTAAGTGTGTGATTGTGGCTTGCCTTGCTTGGCTGAGCAGGAAGGTGGGTGGGGAGGGTGCTCCCCTTGCATCCTTGTGTAAGGAAAAGCTACAGTATGGGAAGGACACACAAATGAGCTGGCTGGATGCAGGCAAAATGCACACACGGTCCTTTCAAAGATGCCAGAGCTCCTGCTACAGCACTGGCTCCTCCAGGGCCCTGGGAGCAATTCTACCTAACTCAACCAAATTTTCTCCTGGAGCTCCTGCTGCAGCATGCCTGCTCCATACCCTACCACGGAGTCCGGACTATAAGAGAATACTCTAGTCCTAAATCTCTAGACTATGAAGGCTCTGGATTGAGGCATAGACTGTACCACTATTTAAAGGATATCAATTGCAAAAAGAAGGGCTGGGTGGGATCACTTCACTTGGCTGTACAGAATTTTTTGTATTGAATAATACTCTACATTCATTTATTATTATTCTAATGTTAAACTCAAAGTGCCAAATTCTACCTGTAGATGGAGTATGTGCTCACAACTCTCACTGCAACCAGTGGGAGCTGTGCAGAAGAGAGGCCAGATTTGGCTCAGAATAGAATGCACAAGTATGACTTGGAGAGCGGGTTTATGGAGTTGTTTTAGCAGATTTTTCTTTTAAGAGAGAAAGTTAAATTATCTTTTGGCTACCATGGTAGTTCCGTTAGAGACTCCAGCTGTTCAACAGGTATGTGAGGCCACTAGCAGGGATAAGAGAGATTGTTTGGGGTACAGTAGCATCAGCAAGATGATGACACACAGCTCTATAAGCCAAATCCGTATCTGGTGTTTTTTTATATCCGCTGCTATGGAATCACATGAGGGAGGAATTTGCTCCCATGTCTCTATTTCATTGGATCTGACAGTGCAGTTCAGCTTTGCCAATGTCTGGACATGACTGGAGGTTTGGATAAAAGCTACCTGGCTGACGAAACAAGAGGTTACAGTCCTGAGTTGGGGAAAAGCAATTGGCAGGGATGGTAGAGGTGGCATTAGCCCTTTCATTTCCAGGAGCTATGTCTGTCTTTTGTTGTTGGATGCCTGGCTGCTTCTGGATAGCCAGATTGCAGCAGTAGCCAAGAGAGCTTTTTTCCATCTTCATGCAAAGTATTTTTAAGGGACCCATTACCGTAGAATTGAAGTTCCCTTTTGCTAGATGGTTACAGTCTTTCCTTTTGGACAGACCTCACCACAGTCATCCATGCTAATGGACCACCAATGTGTACTCTACTTCAGAGAGAGCTTGGAATCCTCAACCACTGCAGAGTAAGGCTGCTTGCTTATACAGGGGAGTTTCACCCCTGGACCATTTCACACCTTTGCTCCACAGACTGTGCTGGTTTCCCATCCATTTCAGCATGCAGTTCAAGGTGCTGGTTGTGATCTAAAGCCCTTTGCACACAGGAGTCTGCCTATCTCCTCGTACTCTTGACAGCTGAGCCAAAAATTCCTATGTCTGAGGGCTGGTGGCTGGGTGTTCTTAGTGAAGGGTCCTTGACTATCTCCTAGATCTAAGTTTGATGGCTTTCAGAATATGTTACAAAGGCTATTTACTCAAGCTTTTCCTGAGAAGTGGGGAGAGTTCTTTGGTTTTTGGAGAGGGTTAGCATGGCTGACTTGTGTCAGTGTAGCTCATTTTGACATGTGTTCAAACACTATATAATAAGTGGATGAAGAGGTATAAGATACATCGCACTTATGTAACATTAATTCATTGTGTAGTGTGTGCCTGTCTCTGTGTGTGTATGTATGCACACGCACATGTACACACACACACACACACACACACACACAAACAAACACTTACTTCATATTAACACTAATTTCTAAAACTCTTGGGTTGATACATGTCTGCAAAATGCAACAGTGAATCTCCTGGGATTCTATTCAAAGCTTGTTACACAGCTATGCTAGGGCCAAACAGTAAAAATACTGCATTTCTGTTGTGCCGGTGGCAAGCGCTCTGGAGATGTCACGGAAGGAGAACTATGTACCCCAACATGCGTCGTTGATTGGATGGGTGCTCTGCAACATGGAGGGGATGAGGCGGAGAATATGGTTGTGTCAAGATCAAAGCACAGGGATCCATGCACAGCAGAAATCCACGGGACCACAAACAAAGGAGGGAAACAGGGTCCAGCCATGTGGAGGGAAGGAGTAGATGCACTGTGGGTGGCTTGGACTTCTGTCCATTTGGGCTCTGCCATTTCCCAGTTCCCTCAGAGCTTCACTTGAGCTGTTTGATGTTCATGGATTCTGACCAGTCCTTTTGCTGGGCCTTCAGGGTACTATTAAGGGAGAATGGAAGTCTGTGGGTTGCAATTTTAGAAAATGGGAAACGTGCGCAGCAAAACTCACACACCATTTCTGAGCCTTCTAGCAAAAAACAAAGCAAACTTAAAAAGTAATGGGTGTGACAAGCAAAAGGGATTATTTCAGCCAGTTACACACATGCACACACACACACACACAAAACCCTCTGCCAAGCATCACAAACAGAGCTGCAATGGTTGAGTATGCAGATGTACAAAATGAAAATTACACAAAAAAGCCACACACCGATGCTACGGTACCTGAGTGGTTTGTGGCTTCTAAAAACACAGCACATGTGGAAAAATAATCAAAGGGATGGATTAGGACAGGAAAGGAAAGCATGCTTGGACAACTCCAGAATGCTCTCATGGAATAAGGGAAAGATGACATGAGACATATATGCTATCTGTAAATATAGCTAATGGATCTTTTCTTTACATTACAACTCACTACAGGAATCTAAAAAGATAATAGAGTTTACTAGTCTTAAGTCTCATTCTGAAATGCTGAGAAAGAAATGGAAAGTGATGCTGTGTCTGTCAGCATTAAAACTATTCCCCTATAATCAGCCTGTCTGAGCTTACGGCCTGATCCTGCTCACACTGAGGACAACTGGACTGTTGCCTTTGGCTTCAATGGGAGCAGAGTCAGGGCTTGAGTTTGTAACGTGACCATGCAGTTATTGATGTAGAAGGATAAGATGGAGTTACTTGTCAAGCTTTTCTGTGTTTTGACGCCAGTGAGTCATATCCTTTCTCCATCTTAGATTCTCTTGACTTCCAAACGCACTCCCAGATGGACTTCTTTCTGTCGGGTAACGTCAAATTTGTTTTAAATAAATCAATATTAACTTTTTCCATGTGGCAACCAAAGACTTGGTTGCAAGTAATACGTGACAGACAGCACGAGAAAACTCTATAGTATGCAAAGCCATAACATTTATCTGTCCGTACAGTAGAACCGCAGAGTTACAACACCTCGGGACAAAACATGGTAGTTGTTCTTTCAAAAGTTTACAACTGAACACTGACAATACAACTTTAAAACTTTACTATGCAGAAGAAAAAAATGCTGCTTTTAACCATCTTAATTTAAATGAAACAAGGACAGAAACAGTTTCCTTACCGTGTCAAATCTTTTTTTGAAACTTTCCCTTTTTTTTTAGTAGTTTACATTTAACACATTACTGTATTGTATTTGGGGTTTTTTGTCTGTTTGTTTTTGGGTCTCTGCTGCTGCCTGATTGCGTACTTCCAGTTCCAAATGAGGGGTGTGGTTGACTGGTCAGTTTGTAACTCTGGTGTCTGTAACTGAGGTTCTACTGTGCTTATATGGCCCCCCATTACTGTATTATCTGACACTTCACAATCTTTAATGTATTTATCCTCACACCACCGCTGTGAAGTAGAGAAATACTATTATCCCCATTGTACAGATGGGGAACTGAAATACGTAGAGACTAAGTGTCTTGCCAATGTCACTCAAGAAGTCTGTGGTGGAACTGGAAATTGACCCTGGTTCTCCTGGGTCTAGTGACCTAGCCACTGGACTAGCGTTCTTCTCATACTCAACAAATACTCTCAATGGGGTGTTAATTCTGACACATGATGGCAATGTAATTACCAAAACTGTTAACTATTTCACTGCTTATCATTTTAGCAGAAACCACCATCCATTCAGGGACTGAGTTTCCACTCTGACCCTTGACATACAGTGACAGAGTGTTGGTTCTGCCTACAAGATCAGGCTAGCATTCCCAGACACTGTTACAGGAGTGCTCTATAAATGAGACAAGTCTACATAAGTAAATAGTTAGGTAACAGATAAAGTGCCTACAGATGGTGCTCACAAATATACAGCATAGTTCCTGGGGTTTATAGGACCAATGAAACTTGTGCACTGCAAACCGCTTCCTCTGTGTAGCTCTTCAGATGGAGCTCTTAACCGATATGCATATCGTCCTGCAGCACTCTACTGGATCTGGGGGCTCTTTGGGGATAGTTTCAAGGGACTCTCATATAGGAAGGTCAGCAGCAACAGGCAAGCTTACTTACCTAGCTGCCCTCTGCTTCTTCGCACCATTTCTTGCCTTGCCCCTATGCTTCCCAAAATAGCTTCTTCAAGTTTTGCTCTCATGTCCTTCGACTTCTTAAATGTCAGACTGTTCATCCTTTCAAACACTTTCTTGCCCTGCAGATTTCAAACCAGAAAAGCACAGATGTTGAGGGAAGCCTCCTTTTACCTGGAATGGACAAGAAGGCTAAATGGATAGAACTCCTATCCCTGGAGACCCTGGAGGATCAGGATGTGCTGTAGGAGATGTCCAGGCCATGATGTCCTCTGCAGGATCTGACAAGCCTGCAGCAGAGAGAGGACAAGGGAGACACGACCGAAGGGAGGACAGAGGACCAACCGGTGACCTGGGAAGCTGCTAAATCTCCACTGCCACTGCAGGAAGTTTTCCTTGACACCTGAGAGTGAGTAAATAGGACTGTCAGCTTCTCTCTGCTCTTACTTCCTGTGGCAGCCTCTGGGGTAATACACTGGGGGAGGCATTCACCTGCCTGCCCAGGGGAGTGGCAAGCGGACAGAGTCACTTGGTGGCTGGAAGACGGAGGGAAAGGGACAGAGGCAGAGGGACCGGGGGCTGGTGTGTGTACGGAAAGAGGCACAGCCACCAGGATTTTGCGGGTCAGGAGAGGATGATCAGTGGAAGGGGGCTCTTTGGCACTATGTAAGGGATGGCGATGTCTGTCTTTCACTTTGTACCTGGATGCTCGTCTGAATCCCATTCCATGCCTCGAGAGAAGTTGAATGCAACTAACCAATATTTCCGTACCTTGTACTCAAAACAGGAGACGCAGAGATACAGCAAATCCAGCAAGCGATTGAGCTGCAGCACGGAGAGGTCTGTGAACCATTTCTGCAGGACGCTTTCGTCGGCATTCCTGAGAACCCACAAGAGGCAGATCAAGAGGCTCCGGCTGGATTCTGCTGAGAAGGTCGAGTGCTGCCGACCACTCTGAACAGACAGGAGCAATCACTTCAGCCACACCGATTAGTGCCCCAAATACTTTGATAGTTCATTAAAAATAGCTGCATCAGGTAATTACGCTGGGCTAACCAACCATCATCCGTCAGACAAGGGCAGGGGCCAGCAGATTTGCATAAATAATCATTATGAGCTAACGTCTGAATCACCCACATCACCCACAATGACAGAGCCCAGATGACACAAAAGACACTGGAATTCAGCCCTAGCAACACATTTTAAGCTAAATTCAAGTTATGAGAGTGTCCTCCTTTAAGCTCCTTCTCAAGACCCACCTCCACTATGATGCTTTCAATAAATTTCCAGCTAGTTAACGGGCTGGCAAGGGACCTCCATTCATTAGCAGAATTACAGTAGAGAAGAAAAAAAACACCATCAACCTTGAAACCTGCAGATGATGAGTCTGTGTAATCTGATGTTCCCTTCATCTCCAGACCATCACCCCCTCCACTGTCTGAGTCATTCAGCCTCTTGGTCTTGGTATCATTAGACTGGAAACTCTACACTGCAGGGGCTGTCCTCCCTTTGTGTGGGTATAGCACCCAGCAAAATGGGGTCCTAAAGGGTCTATGGGTGCTACTGTAATCCAAATAAGGTGAAATCCACCCCTGTGCAGAGGGCCAGCCCAAGGCTCACGCCCCACTCAAGCTCCATTTATGACTTGATTAAGTGGGGTTTAAGTGGGGCAGAGGCCTTGTGCTGAGAGCCTTTGCCAAAGGGTGAAGTTCACCTATAATGACCATAACAGCAGCCATGGTATGGCATTTTCATCAGCTTGCTTTGAGAACGAGGAACAGACGCTTGGCAAAACTGATCATTCTAACTATGTCCCCTCCCTCCCATCACAAGGACAGGAATAACCTAGTGCAAACATTATCTGTTTCACATCTCCCACCCCTCCCTCCTGCTATGTAATGTGCACAGATGCATGCTGACCTCTGTCCCTGCTGCTTTGTGATCATCCCCTTAGGGCATACACATATAAATATCCGCCTGTTTACACATGCTCCGAGGGGGGATATTTTTGTACCGTTGATGTGAGTAGAAAACTACTGGGTCGGGTGAGCTGGGGGACAGATGTTCCTGCAATGGCCATGGCAACTGTCTGACTTATCATGCTTCCACCTTCGCTTTCATAATCGTCGACGGTGACGCAGCTTGGCCTTCCTCGCTGATTGTGAGTCTCTGCCGAGAAACACACACACCTCAGTTAAACGGCGCATTCAAAGGGCCATTCCTCACAGCTCCTCTCTGTTAGTTTCATTTAACTGTCTGGTAATGGTCACTGAAAAAATTACATTAGACTGGTATTGCTAGCAAATGGGGATTTTCTCTCTCTCACTCTCTATATATATATAGTTATGTAAATCAAACATATGAGACTAAGGGGAAATTTTTCAAAAATGTCTAAGGAATTTTGAGCTTAAGTCCCATTTTTGAAAGTGACCTAGGCACTATGGAGCCCAAGTTTCATTAAAAGTCAATAGGACTTAGGTTTCCTAAGTGCCTAAGTCACTTTTGAAAATGGGATATAGACTCTTAAGATAATTAGGTCCTTCTGAAAATTTCCCCCCAAACCTTCACCATGTCATTTAACTTAAAGGGCCGAAATGCTCAAAGAAGTATGCTGTATGTAGGGCCCTACCAAATTCACGGCCATGCAAAACACGTCACAGACCATGAAATCTCGTCTTTTGTGTGCTTTTACCCTATACTATACAGGAGATCAGCATTTCTCAAATGGGAGGTCTCTATCCAAAAGGGGGTTGTGCGGGGACACAAGGCTATAGTAGGGGGGTTGCATTGACACCTTTATTTCTAAGCTGCCGTCAGAGCTGGGCGGCTGGAGAGTGATGGATGCTGGCTGGCCACCCAGCTCTGAAGGCAGTGCAGCAGCCAACAGCAGCGCAGAATTAAAGGTGGCAATACCACATCATGCCACCCTTATTTCTGCACTTCTGCTGGCAGCGGCACTGCCTTTAGAGCTGGGCTCCCAGCCTGCAGCTGCAGAGCTTCCTACAGCCAGTGGAGGGTCCTGGAAATTGGTCTGACCAGCCCCTTGGAGTGGCCCCTGCAGGGGAAGAGGAAGTCCCATCCCGCAATAGCCCAGCCAGGACCAGCAGCTGGAGCCTGGCATATGGTAGGAGCCCTTGGCCAGGACACCCCCAACCCTGCCCCTCCCCAGCTCCAGGCCCAGTGCCATGGCACTCAGAGGTTAAAGGGGCCTTGGTCTGGCTGCGGGTGCCCCGCTCTGAAGGTAGCTCAACTGCCAGCAGCAGTGCAGAAGTAACGGTGGCAATACCACAACCCCCCTCAAAAGCCCCGTGACCCCCTCAAAAGCCCCTTTAACACCGTGACATTTCAGATTTAAGTATCTGAAACTGAAATTTATGATGTTTTAAATCCTGTGACCGTGAAATTGACCAAAATTGACTGTGAATTTGATAGGGCCCTAGCTATATGCCAGACTATTTCATATCCAGCTTCCCCACCCTGGTCTGAAATAGCCCAAACATTTTCGCCCTTCAGGATACTCTTGTCTGGCAAACCATAGGAGAGCTGCTGAAGAAGAAAACATCAGGTAATGTGTAAAGGAACATGGGATTTTGGTTTTTTGGTGCTGTCTGTTGGTACTATTGTTACATATATGGGGCTGTTGTCTCTTTGATTGGATGTATTTTTAAATACGTATCAGGGAGGCTTAGGGTGTCTAGATAGACACCTCTTCTTTTATTAGTCTAAATAAAATAAATCGTGCCTGCAAAACTTGCACGCGGTAAAATTCTGCATCCACATGGGCAAAAGGACACATGCACAATGAATTACTGGTTTTGTGCAAACAAGTGGACAAATGCAGCTTTATGCCAGGCAATTTTAAGCATACATTTTGCAGCTGGTAGCTTACTGTGCTCACTAGCTATCTTGCCGATCAATATTGTCTCATTGTTTCCTACACTCCCGGCCACCTTTCTGTAGCCACCAGTGGCCTTTAGTTTTATACGTAGATTTTAAGCTGGAATCGTTTTTTTATTCTCTTTGTATAGCACCTAGTACAATGGATCCTGGTCCTTGACTAGGGCTCTTGGTCACTATGGTAATACAAATAATAAATAAATATTATACTTTGAAAATAGCAACACCACCACAACAGTTTGGTTGCTCACTCCAATAGCACTGACTTAATGCGCTCAAAAGTTGGGAGTAATTCAACATACATGCAAAGCCTGGTGCACAAAATACCTGTAAAATCATATAGCTGAGGCACGGTTTCCATGATCACGCCAATCAGAGGTAGATACAGCATAGCCACCCGGGCCTTTACCTGTGGGTCAGAGTACCGTGGATCGGAGTCGTGACTGGACAGTAAATTGTGTACCATATTGATGACCTTCTTATGCAATCCAAACAAACTGTTAAAAGAGAGTTGAGTCACAGGGATTGGTTAATATCTTGAAAGCAAACAATACTTTGTAACTAAGTACCTTTAAAAAAATCCTGGTTTTTATTTTTCACCTGGCATGCATATACACGTATCATTGTGCAATATTTCTCAATCTCAGACTCATTTTGGAGACTGGCTTTTATGAATTCACTGACAGCTAAGTAGTAATTTTAACTGTAGCACAAAGAATGTAAATGAGAAAAACTCCTTCATTGACATATAGGTCTGCAGGTCCTTCAGAACTGATACAATGTGAGTGCCCCAGAATCCTTCTATTGAAGAAATCTACTTATGCTACGTTTGATGGATCAGGTCTTGTTTGTAGAATCTCACAAATTTACAACTGGAGAACTAATGGGATCACAACATCACAAGACACAAAAGAAAGAAACCTGAGAAGGGTCAGGGTTTTTAGTTTAGTTAGACTGTTTAAAACTTTGGTTTTTACTAATACCTATTTAACTGAAACTTCTGACAAGCACCTTAGGATAAAAATTTTCTTTATACGAGATTTGAACATGCCTGCCTCTTCAGCTGAAAAAAACGTTTCCCCAGTTCTCTGGTCCTCCAAGGAGTCATCTAGCAAAAAAAAAAAAAGGTGCTTGCTAACTTGAAACTGGAAAGTCTTTGAGATGTGTGGTCCCGATCTGTATTCCACATGTGGGGGCACATGGGTACCATGTGCCGGAGCCCAGGAATTCTAACAAGCAGTGTCTGGTGGCCCACCCATACACAGTAGTTCTCTTTGTGCTCCAGACTGAGGGCATAAGAAGTGGTGCAGGCCAATGCCTCTCCAGTTTCTCTTCTTACAGTGAATCCAGAAAGATCCGAAGCAGAGGGGATGGAGGTTAGGTAGTGGAAACCAAATAGGGATCACACATCTTGAAGAACTTCCAGTTACAGGTAAGTAACCTTCATTTCTTCTTCAAGTGCTGGTCCCTATATGTATTCCACACATGGGTGACTGACAAGAAGTCTTCAGACTGGAGAAGAGTGTGAGGAAGCTGGCAAGAAAGACGTCCAAAGGACTGCATCTGCATCGGAGGCTTGAACGATAGCACGTACTATTTTGTGAATGTGCAATTGGAATTCCAGATAGCCGCTCTGCATACGTCCAGTAACCGTTCTTCCTGCAGTGATGCTGTAGAGGCAGCTTCAGCTCTGGTGGAATGTGCCCTTCCCCCGTCAGGTGAAGCGATATATGCTAATCGATTGCAGACAATGATGCATCCAGAAATCTATTTAAAGATTCTCTGAGAGGATATAGCTTGTCCTCACGACCTTTCCGCTAGGTCAAGAAATGGCCTAGGAGACTTTCGGATAGATTTGGTTCTCTGCAAGTAGAATGCTAAGGTATGTCTGATGTCAAGGGAATGAGGTTCTCTCTCCTTAGCAGAGACATAGGGTTTTGGGAAGAAAACAGGTAAGTGACACGGAATTCCAGAAGAACCTTGGGGAGGAATTTAGGATGTTATCGAAAAGAGACCTTTTCCTTGTGAAAAACAGTATATGGTTAAAAGAAGAACAGGAGTACTTGTGGCACCTTAGAGACTAACAAATTTATTTGAGCATAAGCTTTCATGGGCTACATCCCACTTCTTCGGATGCATGGATGTAGCCCACGAAAGCTTATGCTCAAATAAATTTGTTAGTTTCTAAGGTGCCACAAGTACTCCTGTTCTTTTTGCGGATACAGACTAACACGGCAGCTACTCTGAAACCGAGTATATGGTTGGTCTGCCATGAGGGCTCACATCTCACTCACCCTTCCGGCTGAGGTAACAGCCCCTCAGAATGCAATCTTCATGGACAGGTGGGACATGGAACTTCTTGCCCAGGGTTAAAATGGTGGCCCAGGGAGTGCTGATAGTATGAACTGAGGTCCCACTGAGGTGTAGGTTTGACAATTGGTGAAAAGGTCCTAACTACGCTTTTCATAAATCTCACTGTAATAGGGTGAGTAAAGATGGAATGTCCATCTACTAGTGGAAGGAAGGCACTGATCACTGCTAGATGGACCCGCAGTGAGAGCAAATGGAAAGACGTGAATGTTTTAAAAACGGAAGGTAATCTAAAACAACTGGGATACTTCCAGAATTTGGAGACAGCTGCTTATGCTGAACCCAGGTAGAAAAACGTCTCCATTTAGCTAGGCAGCAGGTTCTAGTTGAGTCTTCTCTACTTTGAGAAAGAATAGCTTGGATGGATGCTGAGCAAGAGCATCCTAGTTCTGATGCCCATCCAAACACCAGGCCATTAGGTGGAGTAGTTCTGGATTGGGGTCTCTGATTCTGACCCCTTCTTGAGTAAGGAGATCCGGGAAGGGGTGGATCCTGGAAGGAGGACTGATTGACATCCTCAGGAGCTCTGTGAAACAAAACTGTCTGGGCCAGTCCTGACAGATCTTTCTCAAGACCTTTGTAACAGGCAAATAGGAGGGAAGACATGTCTGAGATTGCACGTCCACAGAAAAACATTGCCCTGGGAACCGCGACCCTTAGCTCCTCTGGGGCAATACAGAGGAAGCTTCCTGTTCATTTGGGAAGAGATCCCATTGAGGTGCTCCCCAATGAGCGACTATCTTGCTCAGGATAGAGCTGTGTATCTCCCACTTGTGAGCTGCAGAGAAGTGATTGCTCAGGTTGCCTACTAAGGAGTTTTGGGCCCCTGGAAGGTATGTGGCTTGGACAGCAATGCAGTTATAAATTATTTACAAATTTATTTACAGAGTATGATAAAAGCTGGAGAAATCTGTGGACACAGGGATTCCTTTTCAGGCCATGCAGTGGTAAGAAGGAACTGAGGAGGCGTCAGCTCACACTGCCTCTAATATCCTCAGTCTGGAGCACAAGGGGAACTACTGTGCAAGTGCAGGCCAACGGATACGGCTTGTTGGAATTTCCAGATTCAGGAGCATGGCGTGCATGCGCAGCCCATGTGCGGAATACACATAAGGACCAGCACTCAAAGAAGAACAGGAAGATAAAGGTACATATTCCTGATATTTCTAATTAAAAAAATTCCCCAAACAAACAGGAAAAAAAAGAGCAAAAGAACCTTTCTGGCCTTTTTTATTCACTGTAAAGATGCAAAAGAGGACACAGTATAATTGTTTTCCCCTTTTGCAGGTCACCAGCAACACATTCCTTTTCCAATACGTAAGTTATTTTTTTCTTTGAACCTCAGGAGAGCCCCACTCTGGTCCCTTCCTTCAACACACTTTGGCAACCTCTGTGGCCTTAGTAAAAAGGAAAGAAATAGGAAAAACCCGTGGGTAGCTCTATAACAACTGCCTGCAGAGTAGATGCAGAACCTCTCTGTCGTCTCTAGGCAACAAGTTTGACCCTCCTCAAGGTCCTTTGATCCAATCCATGAAGCAGGAAAGTTTCCATGCTCCACATCTTTGTATTACATGGCCCCCAGGATTTGACCCTTAGGTCTTAAAGTGACCTAGGTATTTCAGGCACCATATACTCTACAGCTATTACTAAGTCAGTCGACCTGGTTACAAAAGGCTACCATTTGTAGATAAACCTTGGATTGTCCACATTTTTAAACAGGTTACAAGAACATACTTAGGGGTGTTACCCCTGGTAGCTTATAGAATAACTGCATTGTAACTGGGTCTTCCAGCTTGGTTATATGTGCGGTGTCACTGGGACCTAACACAACTAGGGAGGAAACACTTAAAGTGTCAGGAAATTACAAACCACGATTAGAAAAAAGCTCTTTGCTATAATTGTAAAGTAACTGCCTTTATATCCTGTTAGTAAAAGCTGAAGGAAAAACTGCCTTGGAGATCACAGTGTTACCCAGCTTATGTAACACAATCAAACTTTGTCTCCGCTCCACCACCACTGTCCATAGTTGGCATGAAGGAGATGGGAGCTGATATTTCCGAGCCATATCAGAGAATAACGAAGAAGATCTATTAGTCTTGCTAGCTGAGCTTGCATTAAACAGACCTCGTTGCCCACAGCTGGTCTCTTTGCCATCTCAGTCCTAGATTTACCCTATATTCAGGTGTTGCACAGTTGTATTATATGTTCTTTGTTTAATTGGGAGCTGTCCCAAACATTGAGGGCCAGATTCTGATTCCCTTATTTGTGTTCAATAGTACGTACCTTCCTCCACAATTCCACTGAGTCAATAGGACTCTTCAAGGAGGAAGGTGCTACCCAACTCGAGTAAGGGGATCAGAATCTGGCCCTTAGGCAATGAGCAACATCACCAACAAAGAAGACATTATGTGCTAAGACAATCCACCCAGGACTTGATTTGTTTGGACTTTCTTCTTCTGTCACCGCAGCACACTAGTTGTCTCATCCACCTGTTACGCCTTGTCTTTTAGATTGTAATCTCCTTGGAGCAGGGCATTGATTGTATGTTTGTATAGCTCCTAGCACAATGAGACCCCAACCTTTGAACACTAACACAATATATGGCAAACAATAATAGTAATAATACATTTAAAAGGTATTACTAAGTCTTTTCTGTACATGAATTATGAAGTTACTCCATGGAAAACACGTATAGTACAATTGAATGCCAACAGCTTGCATACAACAGACAGGATAATGGAACAAACAAGTTAAACAAGTCTAAGTTTCAATAACTTTATGTCATGTACAGAGCTCAGAGGAGAACCCATGAATTTCCTATATAAAAGCAGTTAGCTATGCATCCTTTAATCCTTTCCCACTGCAGGGCAACGCATCTGGGAATAATTCTAAATTATTCCAGAATACTGTGGCTGAAATAGATAACTTTTTAATGATTAGCGTAGTCTTAAATCCTGCACTGATAAGCTGTTCAAATCAGGAAATGTCTTACAGGTCAAATCCACAACTGGTGTAAATTAGTGTACTCCACTGATGTCAACAGAGCTACGCCAATTTACATCATCTGAGGCTATGGCCCTTAACACTCTCCATAGGAGAGTGGTGGAATGCCTTAATTGCAACGTTGATGGAACTGGGGGAGAGTCCAGATAGTTTAAGCCCTAAAAGGTAGTCGAGTATTAATGGAAGAGGCACGGGAGTAGGAGCGGTTTGTTTGTCAGAGCACCAGTGTGTGAATCTCGTCCACTTATGAAGATAGGTGGTACGTGTGGAATGTGTTCTGCTATGTAAAAGTACCCTTTGTACCTGGACCAATGGGAGCTGCAAAGCCAGCGCTGTGGGCAGAGGCAGAGCGCAGAGATGCCTGGCCATGCCTCCGCATAGCAACTGAGAAAGGGGGATGTCGCCGCTTCCAGGGAGCCCCAAGGTAAACGCCGCCCAGAGCCCGCCTCATCCCGTCCAGTGTCCCAACCCTCTGCCCCCTTCCATACCCAAACTCTGCTGCTGCTGTGATGGCCTGAGACTGCCCCAGCAGCGGCCGGTGTGCCTGGCGCAGGGGCTGTCTGAGCTGCCCCTGAGCCAGGCACACTGGCCGCTGCAGAAGTCTCGGAGGTCACAGAAAGTCACAGAATCCGTGACAAACCCACAGCCTTACTTATGAGGGAAGATTGAAAGTATTGGATTTGTTTAGTCTGGAAAAGAGAAGACTGAGAGGGGACATGATACATAGTACATTCAAGTACATAAAAGGTTGTTACAAGGAGGAGGGAGAAGAAAAACTTCCTAACTGTCAGGGTGGTTAAGCACTGGAATAAGTTGTATAGGGAAGTTGTGGAATCTCCATCATTGGAGATTTTTAAAAGCAGGTTAGACAAACACCTGACAATTAGGAAGTTTTTCTTAATGTCCAACCTAAACCTCCCTTGCTGCAATTTAATCCCATTGCTTCTTGTCCTATCCTCAGAGGTTAAGGGGAACAATTCTTCTCCCTCCTCCTTGGATACAGAGGGACCCAGACAAATTAGAGGATTGGGCCAAAAGAAATCTGATGAGGATCAACAAATGCAGAGTCCTGCACTTAGGAAGGAAGAATCCCATGCACTGCTACAGACTAGGGACCGAGTGGCTAGGCAGCAGTTCTGCAAAAAAGGACCTAGGTGTTACAAGAAGCTGGATATGAGTCAACAGTGTGCCCTTGTTGCCAAGAAGGCTAGCGGCATTTTGGGCTGTATAAGTAGGGGCATTGCCAGCAGATCGAAGGACGTGATCATTCCCCTCTATTCGGCATTGGTGAGGCCTCATCTGGAGTACTGTGTCTAGTTTTGGGCCCCACACTACAAGCCGAATAGAAAAATTGGAAAGAGTCCAGCGGAGAGCAACAAAAATGATTAGGGGCCTGGAGCACATGACTTATGAGGAGAGACTGAGGGAACTGGGATTATTTAGACTGCAGAAGAGAAGAATGAGGGGAGATTTGATAGCTGCTTTCAACTACCTGAAAGGGAGTTCCAAAGAGGATGGATCTAGACTGTTCTCAGTGGTACCAGATGATAGAACAAGGAGTAATGGTCTCAAGTTGCACTGAGGGAGGTTTAGGTTGGATATTAGGAAAAACTTTTTGACTAGGAGGGTGGTGAAGCACCTAGGGAGGTGGTGGAATCTCCTTCCTTAGAGGTTTTTAAGGTCAGGCTTGACAAAGACCTGGCTGGGATGATTTAGTTGGGGATTAGGTCCTGCTTTGAGCAGGGGCTTGGACTAGATGACCTCCTGAGGTCCCTTCCAACCCTGATATTCTATGATTCTTTCAGGAATGGTCTAGATAATACTTAGTCCTGTACTGAGCGTAGCGGATTGGACTAGATGACCTCAAGAGGTCTCTTCCAGTCCTATGATTCTATGATTACTGGGCAGGATTCCAAACTCTGAAAATTTCTTGCTGCATAACCTTGGCAAACAACTTTAAAATATTCTATGTTTCACTTTATCCATCTGTAGTAAACTATATTTACTGGTCTTATAGGGGAGTTGTGAGGCTTAATTTATATGTATAAAGTGCTTTGAGATCCTAAGATGAAAGGTGCTACTATACCTACACCCAACATCAGCAGACATTTTCTTACTCTTGAAAATTATGTTCTTGCTACTGCTGCAAAAAAGCTACTTTCTGCAGCCTCCACAGCCAATTGAAGAGTACCATTGAAAGCTCCAATGGGAGACTCTCATCCCCTCATTCTCAGCTAGGAGAATGTGCCTGTAAACGGGATTGGAGAGTCGGGGTTAAAAGAGATAGGAAAGGGGACAGAACAAGTAGGCGGGGAGGATTCTCGGGCTGGAGGACTTGTTTTCTACTCCCACTCTCCTCTCAGATTATACATGTAAATTAACTCTGTTCATGGCAGTAGTTTGCTTGGGATCCACCATCTACTTAGATTACAGTAACCTCTTGGGAAAAAGTTAAAAACTCACCCTTCAGCATCAGGATCTAAAATGACAGCCAGCTCTGTTAACACAAGCCCTGCCAAGTAATGCTGCTGGCGGAAAGGCACAGACAATTCAAACATATTTGCAATCTTCTGGTCTTGGACATTTGTAGAGAATCCAGAACTCTGTTGAAAAACCCAAAATTAAAAGTTGTGTAATGATCCACTGAGACACAGAAAGATACATCTTATGAAATACAGGACAAGCCCTGACCAGATTCAATAAAATCTCATGTCAGCCACTATTTCACTCATTTTTTGGCTACATATCTACTTATGTTACATGTAACTTCATTAACCCTTCAATAATTCAGAGTAGATGCATTTTACTTTTGTTCCCTTCTTAGTTAAGTATATGCATTACAAACCAGAGGATGAGAAAACAGTTAATCTGATGAGCAAGAGCAGGGCTACTGAGCAAGGCAACGCGTTTGCTGAGTAATGACTATTTTTTGCACATTCACTCTTTTGCACAGGATGGGAAAAGGTAGTAGAATGATGCGTTACAAAGTGATAATAAATGGACTTTGGTTATTTTAATCATCACAGAAGATCAGCACAAGTCTGAGTAAAAGCCTACTGTTCTTCGCTTCAAAGGAAAACGTTATGCTTACACATTATGGCTAAAAGTTTAGGGTTTCAGAGACGCACTTTAAGCTTTCATTATGGCAATCCTAATATGGGTAACTACAAGGAGTAATGCCAAGTGTGCTGCCCATAGGCCCCTCTAAGCCACTCTACCTGCATTGACCGTATTTTTTAAATAAGTGATCAAAGAGGCATTAGCAGGAAAGGAACCTGAACATGTGTGTGACACACCTGTCTCTGAGATTTACTCATAGACTCTAAGGTCAGAAGGGACCATTATGATCATCTAGTCTGACCTCCTGCATGATGTGGGCCACAAAAGCTGACCCACCCACTCCTGGAAGAATTCTCTCCCTTGACTCAGCTGTTGAAGTCCCCAAATCATGATTTAAAGACTTCAAATCGCTGAGAATCCTCCAGCAAGCGACCCCTGCCCCATGCTGCAGAGGAAGGCGAAAAACCTCCAGGGCCTCTGCCAATCTACCCTGGAGGAAAATTCCTTCCCGACCCCAAATATGGCGATCAGCTGAACCCCGAGCATGCGGGCAAGATTCTCTAGCCAGACCCTCTGGAAAAAGTTCTCTGTAGTAACTTTTAATATCCCATCA